CTAAATGGGTTCCTCAATATAAAGTTAATAAAATATCCAGTAACTGCTCAAAAAATACATGAAATTTCTCCCAAGAGCTATTTTTCGATACCTTATATTTTCTTATTCTTTAAAGCACAAAAAAATAGTGAAAACACGAATAGATACAGTAAACAAGGCAAACAAACAATATTCGAGACATTTTCCTTTGTTCAAATGTCGAGTATCATGTTGGCGACGAGGACGACGTCGCGACGTGCCGATTTTGCATTCATGCAGTCGCATATAAAATTGCCCCGTGCTGCTTTCACGCTGCGCTCCGATCAAGTAATCTCGGTCGCGCTATTTTCAATGCGATCTCCGGCCGAATTATCCGAATTATCCGTCTGGCACATTAAGCATTTAGGGGCCGTCCGCACGTCTGCGACCTCAGATCGTCGCGCTGCTCGGCCGTCTCGGTTGATCTGCTTCGATTTCGAGAATGCGCCAGCATATCAAATGCGTTACACTGGCGATTATTAAACTACCAAGCTCGCAAAATCTGCATCATTATAACGGCAGTAAATTAACACTTTCGCTATTAGAACATCAACGTGACAATTTTATCAGAAAAAGAAAACTATTTCTTATCTCACTTTCGTAATCACATCGTCCCAATTAACGTTTATAGTGAATAAATTAATACAGTATTTATATCTGAGTTATAAGATAGTTCGAATCTTCGTAATTTATTTCCTTCTACGATCTAGTCTCTACACCCTGAGCGCGTATTATTCTCGACGCTTCGATTACAAAAGGTTTGTTCTTTGATCTTGCACTGGCTGCACTAGTTCACGAAGTGTGCATCCCGATACTCACTGCCAGTATCGCGAGTTCTATAGTTCATGTTACGCGTACTATAGATTTGCAATACTGGCAGTGAATATCGGGGCGCACATTTCCTGAATTAGTGTAGCTTGGAACAAAAACCGACCTAAAACTCGCGTGAAATTGCTGAAGGCGCGAAAAGGCGCCGTGTACGAATTAAATTTCACTTGTCTCCGGCATTCCCTTGAAAACACGGCGAAGAGAGGCGTATGATATCGCGAGATATAAATGTAGAATTAACATTACGCATTGTGTGTCCGACGAGTTAGACTCTCATCCTTCGGTACACCGCGGCAGCATGTCGACGATAAAGAAAATGTCGATCTTTCCACGGTCGAAGGTCGAAGGTCGGATACATGGAACTCGCACGCTCCGCACGCGCTGCACTATCTGACCAACTTTTGACCTTTCGAACGTCGCGAGCGCCGAGCTTTTCCGAAGTCGTCGCGAATTTAAAAAGTACATATGCACTTATTCGAACGGAGTTGATGAAATCATCGACGGAATGTTGACGCCGATGTAGGGACGATGACGGGGAGAAAAAAATTTGCAAAGCTGCGCGCGACGAGGTGTGCGCTGTCACAATGTCGAACTGAACTTCGCCGGTCGACTAAAGGGAAGGAGTGGGTCCCTTGAGAATCCAGATTATCAGAAAGAAGTGCAAACGACCGAAACCGACTCGCGTTTTTAATCGCACCGAACGACGCGCTTCCGAATCCGAAATTCGCGTATTCCACACCGAAAAATGGATCTGAACCTACCCGGCAATGGTCAACCAAACGCGTTTTGGTTGAAGCAAACAGAATTTCCGGTTACACTGAGAGAAAAATATAGTTATTTTCGGGGACAACAATATCCTTTTTCCAATTTAACCACAAAAATGGCCGAGAAAACTATTTTTCTAGTAAGTGTTGCTATAGTGTCAGTGATAATAACCTCACGTGCATGTTGCTTCTACTATTTTTGTGGTTAAAATAAAAAAAGATACTGTCCCCGAAAATAACTATATTTTTTCCCAGTATACAGGAAGTTTTTTGTTCATGGGAATCAGAGATTTTGTTTACTTCAACCAAAGTGCGTTTGACTGTCCATTGTCCATTGTCAGGTAGAGCCGACCGAACCTATTTTTCAGTACAGTACGGATTTGTCCGGTGCGGCCACGTGAATTCGTTCCCGACGCGATCTCGTCCACGTGTCTCGTGGGTGACGTCTCAAAAACGATAGCCTCCGGCCATGACAGTACATCTCTTCATGATCTAGCTGAGGTTTGCGAATTGAAACTTGTGTGTGGCTACCCCCACGCTAGTCCGTTCGTTCGTTCGTTCGTTCGTTCGCGAGAAACTTCCTCGATACGCTTCGAGATCGATAGCCGCGGGACCGAGGGGGGCCGGGAGGGCGCACGAGAGTGGGCGGGAGGGTGATGAGGGAGGAAGGCACCTTCGAATTTCGCTGCCCCGCTGGCCCCCGCTGCCGAGTTTACCCCCCGCGATCGATCGCGAGCGGAATTTCCGTGGCCCAGCAGCGGCCGAACTTGAAATCTCTCTCTCTCGCCGCGGCGTCGCGTTCGGTTAGCAGCGTTACCAACGCGACGCACGGCCGACAACAATAATTCGTTTCCGCCGAAACGGCCGCTAATCATGGCCCGGGTCCGGGCGAGAGCGCAGGCTGGAAGACCGGCTAAGCGTTCGTTCGTAGAAACCACTAGGAGGGACGACGTCGACTGCGAGGAGGGCATCGATCGCGACGTCGAAGCGAAACCGCCGCTGAAGGCCGCTCGTTCGATATGAAGTCCGCTCACTCGCGAGGATAGTGACCCGAGCACTGCGCCGTAGCGCGAGGTGCATGTGCGAATGAACGTTACGTAAAGGAAACTCCGAGTTAACGGAGCCGGCCGGATCGTCGTCCGTCGACGGTGCCGACTTCGAACGTGTGCTTGACTCATTAGCGCGTGGATCTCGATCGATCGCGCCAGCCGAGAGCGAATTCCCAAAATCACGTCGAGGAAATCGCGACGAAGAAGACGACGGCAGGTTAAAGATCATGTCTCAATTCTGATTCGAATTCTGCTAAGAATGCAAGGCAACGCTGAAGACTGAACGATGAATCTCGGAAATCGCGTTGCGAGGAGGAATACGAAGGAAGGTTGAAGATATAATTCTAATTCTGATTTCGATGAGAATGTAAGACAATGCTGAAGACTGAACGATGGGTCTAAAAAGTAACATTGCAATGAGGAATAAGACAGAAGGTTGAAAATAATTTTAATTGAGGTAATGTTGATAATTGAACGATGAATCTAAGAAATCATGTTGTATCGAAGGGTACGATGGGAAATAAAAGATAATTCCAATTCTGATAAGAATGTGTAAGACGACGTTGAAGGTTGAACGAAGAATCTGAAAAATCACAGTGCGGTGAGAAATACGACAGAAGGTTGAAGATAATTTTAATTCTGATTTTGATAATAATGTCAAACCGGCTTCATACGATGTGGCAAATGTAGGCGAACGTTGGCAATTATATTGATCACATACGTGGGCAGTCCGATAAGTAATTAGCCTACAAAAGAAAAACGAAAATTTTGGAAAAGTGGCGATTTATTTCTCAACATAGTCTCCTTTTAGCTCGATACACTTGACCCAGCGATGCTCCAACTTCTTTAACCCATCTGAAAAATACGTTTTCTCGAAGTCTGCAAAGTAGGCCTCCGTGGCGGCGATGACCTCCTCATTCGGCCAAATTGGTCGAATTGGACTACGAACTGCTGCCCCATCCACCGTATTCTCCAGATTTGGCCCCGTGCGACTTTTTTTTGTTTCCAAACTTGAAAAAGTCACTCGCCGGGCAGAAATTTGAGTCGAATGAGGAGGTCATCGCCGCCACGGAGGCCTACTTTGCAGACTTCGAGAAAACGTATTTTTCAGATGGGTTAAAGAAGTTGGAGCATCGCTGGGTCAAGTGTATCGAGCTAAAAGGAGACTATGTTGAGAAATAAATCGCCACTTTTCCAAAATTTTCGTTTTTCTTTTGTAGACTAAGTACTTATCGGACCGCCCTCGTATATAATATATCATACATAATATAACATACATAGTCAATATACAGGAAAAAATAATTTTAAATCAATGATAGACATTCTCATATATAAGCAAGAATATTATAATATTCTTAGAAGATTTTTAGTTTTGAGTCGAGTGCATGTGATACTTGCATCAATACAAATTCAATCAAATCAAGATTAAAAATCTTCTAAGAAGATTATACTTGCATGTACATATATGAGAATATCTATCGTCTTAAGACAAATTATTTTCCCGTGTACAATTACCAACGTTCGCCTGCATTTGTCGCGCGGAACCGGCTGGAAGCAACGCTGGAAACTGAACGATGAATCCGAAAAGCCACATTGCGACGAGGAATGATGACGGAAGATTGGGGATAATTCCAATTCTGATTCTAATTCCGGTAATAAGTATGACAACGCTGAAAACCTCGCTCGGGACTAACCGCCTACTTAAACACGTTCTTCTCGCACGAGCGGTGTGTCAACGTCGATTACATCGCGCGTTGCTGCTACGCGATAAGCCGGAGAGCAGATAACGCCGAGCGTTAGTCGCGGATCTCGTTCCGCCGCGAGCGCGAGCTTAGAAAATCCGCGCTAATGCCGGTGTCATTGACCGGTCGCTAACAAGCCGTCGGGCCAGACGCGCTACGAGACCGCAGGAGAGTCCGATTCATTATAAAACGTCGATGCGACGCGCTCAACCTACTACTGCCGCTCGAGACGAATGCGATTTTCGAATCGCACCTAAATCGACCGCGTCGGCATCAATGATTTCGCGGATGTCCGACACACACATACAGCTCGATCGATATAGCGCCGCGCTGCAAATCAACAAATCGAATAAAGAAGCTGAACGGTGACGGAGGGGGAGGGGGGGACAGGTGGCAGGCGATTGGGTGGATGAGCGGGTGGATTGGATATGATTTGTCGGTGACCGGAAGCTCACCGGTTTCGATCGAGCGTTCGTCCGATCGGCGACAAATTCACCGGCTACCGGGAAGATGAATCGTTAAATAGGTGGTCTCTCGAGTGTATAAATCGCGTGTATACTCGTCAATGGGGAAAAATCCAACTCGTGCAGATACATTACCTGCGAGCATACGTGACGACATCGTTCTCCAGGCTCGTGCTGGCGAAACAATAGCCATCGGTCTCGCACGTGTAATTGGCGTCCGCGCAAATGTCGCAGTAACACTTCAGCAGTCCTGAAAACAAAGCGGGGATCTCGTTGATTAACTTGGATCGTTTACGCTTACACTCACGCTTACGCGGATCACCCGATATAAAATGGATCGAATGGTGATTATCCGTTCCTTTTTTGCGTGAAGGCTCTCTCTCTCTCTCTGTCTCTCTCTCTCTTTCTCTTCCTCTCTCCCTTTCTCTCACGACGAGGCCGAGATGGATTATTTGACGATATCGAATTCCAGAGGTGAAATAAATTTCGCGCAAGAGCGCTTGCGTGCTCCGCTATGGAATGGAAGAAATATGGGTAGGAAGATATTATCGTGAAACGCTATATGGCACTTACCACAATTGAGGGGCAGTTTATTTTACGATAATATAACATCGTCGTAGGTCTCGCAAATATTGACATGCAATTTTCGAGATACATCGAATGCTCGTCGATCTAAATTACTCCGGGATGTTTACGCTATCGAGGAGGTTTTGTATTTGCAGGCTGTTCAATAATTCAAGAACACATTGCGCTGGGAGCTGAGAACTAATACAAACACTTCCACAAACACGATACGTCGCATCCCCGTTGCCAGAGCCAACTTGGAAGTTTTGCAATTGCCAATTAATAACCGGAGAGAGATTATGCGTCTTGAAATTGAAGAATCTAAGGATCGAAAACTTCGACATGGTCTAACGATAACAAAAGAACCGAGAAGATGTGGCGGATCTGAAAATCCGGTAAAAGTCTGACATCGGCATTACGTGACGGACAGGCCTGTCCTTCTTTATGTGCTTTTTGTTCGCCAAGATGAAGAGGAGAAAATGGACGGCTCGTAAAAAATTATATGGACTCGGGAAGACCTTGGAGCTTGAGTAACTATGCTCAGGTATCGTTACTCCTGTAGAAGCCGAGGTAAGCGAAGCCGCGATAAGCACGTCGAAACTTTCGTTGCGATGCGTCTTAACGTAACTGTTATTCCTTCTGCAAGTTGAACGAGAAACTCTCGACGAGAATCGACCCGGTACTCGACGGCGTTCGGATGCAACAGGAATGATATTTCACCGTCGCAATGTAAGAAATATGAGTACTCGCGATACGCCGATATTCACTCAAACGCGCTTTTTACGTACATTGTCGTGAGACGTGCTTGTGAAATAAACTTGAGATGCACAAGGACTGAGAAAGAGCAAAATAATCTCACTTTGTAATGTTACGCATGACACGCATTGATTTAAGAGCTTACGTATCGTCATTAGCACACTCGATTAAATCGTATATGTAAATGAATGTATTTTTATTTTTAAATTTTTAATGGTTCGACCGTGACATAGCTGCACAGAAAAAACAAACAGCTTCTAAAAAACTAGCTTCCACGGCTAAAAATAAACTACAAGTAAAATTTGCAAGGTAAAAAGCTCCACATAATATACACAGTTCACATAATATACATAGTTGAAATTTAGTTAATATAGACAATTCTTCCCGGCCCTGTATCTAGTTTTTAGCTCCCACAGTTAAAAACTAGGACTACCCTGAAAAATCTATTTAGTTGACCCAAACAAAATTTGATTAGGATATGCTCAAACAAATCTTTTGGTCGTGAGAATCAAAATTTGATTCTTTGAACCAAAAGTTTAGTTTTCTGACAACAAAACCTTTTTCATTTTCGTTCTAGAGATCTAAACCTTTGGTTCAGAAAACCAAATTTTGCTTCTCACAACCAAATTTATTGGAGCATTTTCTAACCAAATTTTGTTTGAATCAACTAAATGAATTTTTCAGTGTAATAACTGAATTTGAATTACTAATTTACTAGCAATTCCTCTTTTTCGTGCGCGAAGCGCGCTTGCGACAGGAAAAGTGCCCTAGAATCGCGTTCGATTATTAATTCGGTGCATTTGGATTCGCGATCTGTCGCGTAACGATCGCGCGCGCTTTATTTCCAGATCCGATTTTCAATTCAGCAGTTCCAGTGGCGACGCGGAGAATACGGAACGGTGCTCTTAAATCCTACATTCGTCAGACGGATGAACACACACGAAACGGCTGCGTTTCTACTGCCAATTTCACGTCAAGTGCGATCGCCGAGTAATCTCGCTCTCTCATAGTGATCATGCCCGATACGCGATCCCAAATTTTATCCGCTCGATATCGATCTCCGACATAAATCTGCGATAAGTATCAAAAACGATCTCTTTGACAGCGCTAAACCCGCGAAAATATACGAGCCGAAGTGTGCTCGGTCAAAGAGCGAGCGCCGCTGACGTGCGATATCGAACGGGCGGAGAAAAAAGAAGCAAGAAAAAAAGACGCAAGTGACGCTCGCATAACCGACCGGTATTAGCTCACCTTTTTTGCGCCCGGTATAATTCGCCGATTAATGCAACTGAACTGCCTCGAGTGTATCCGAGCAAAGTAATAAGATTTATTGTGAAACACGCGTGCTCGTAGAATATTCCACGCACAAATATACGTCAAAGTGCGAATAAATTTTTCGCATCGTATAAATTATTCAAAGCCGCGTGACGTCGAGTAAAGAAGTGCCTCACGACTGATGCGCGTCACTTGTACTTCGCGCGATGCGACCTTTCCATTTTCAATAATTAAAAGACAGTGTAATTGGATTCCGCGCGGAGAAAGAAAAAGCGACCGATGGTACAGGGAGCGTCAAACACCCGCGGTGCTCTTGACAGTCGCAGATTCTTTGACGTGACTTGGAGTTGACGTATCGGCAAAATTTTCTCGGAAATCAGTCGATCGACAATATTCCGGCGCTCAATGTTGATTCCGAGCGCGCGCTCTCCGCCGATTTTAACTCGCTCCGCTTGAATACGCCGTTTCTGATATACCTCTGTATACCGGTTGTCGACGACTTCTTTTTAACGAGGAATTCAATTCAATTAAGTCTCAAATTGAATGCTCGCCGAGAAGGAAATTGCATCAAAAATAAGACGTCGCTATTCGTTCCTTTTTTCTCCTCTTCCCTCCGAACAGCGTGTGTTTTTATTATGACGTCTCGCTCGCAAAGAGAGTCAGGGACAGACAGATATTTTTTTTTCGCAAGCTGATATCGATCGAAATCGCGTCACTCGACCGTCCCCCCCCCCCCCTATCACGGAGAAGAAAAATNGCGGTAAGACGACGCACGCGCGCGCTGAAGATTATCTACGTATCGCGGTTCGGTTTATATAAACGCCGCGTGGATCGTAGATTACAACAACCGAGAACTTACGACAGAGATATATACACTATTCTTCGCTCCATTACAAACCGGTCGACGCTGTGTGCAACCTTAATGGCACTTATCGTGCATTTTGCGCCGATACGGTGTTCGATATATCGCTATAAATAGTAGTCACTTCGTTCGTTCTCGATTTCGATTACAATGCGCCACCAACGAAGCCCGAAAGGGTAACCATTAAGGTAATCGAAATCGCAAAGGAAACGTACCGCCGCGTTTTTCATGGTTTCTCTCCCGGCAGACGGGCGAATTAATTAATTATCTCGTTCCTCCCCCGCCTTTATCTTTATCTCTCTCGCAGTGTAAATTTGCCGACAGTTGGCGATAATGAAACATCGAACGTTAATTTATCAACGCGAATTCGGGGATCGCGACACGATCGATGCTCCGTGTGTGTTTTTATCGTCGCGCGGAGGAAAAAAAAATTCCACGCCGCCCCGTTTGCTTTTCCGTTGTTCTTCCCGTCGATAGTCACCCCTTTGACAACGTTAATACGTCTTCTGCGAGCGACGTTACTTGATATGCATTTACGTGCACGCGGCGGCGTCTCGTCGCTCGCTCGCTCGCGCGCCTACGTATGTATGGAATCTCGTTAACATCGTCGCGGCGATAGCGCGCGGGGTTCTTTTCGCCAACCTACCTACGAGCGTTTTATCGGGCGAACCTGCAAACACTAATGGCCCGTAAGAATCCGCGGAATAACAATGTACCGGCCGCGGCGGGACGAGGAGACGGCGGAGGAGAAGGAAAGAGAAAGAAAAGAAGCAGAAGAAGAAGAAGCGGTCGTTCACGGCGTTTCGTCTATCGGACGCAAGAACGCCGGGGCGTGTGCTGCTTTTTCAATGAGGACTCGAGAGGCTGATTTGCATGCACGACAATTACCAAGCATCGAATTCATCAGAGCGGAGCCGTCGGTTTCGACGCAAGAAGCGTGCATATAACGAAGATATATTAGAGAGAACGAATAAAGAAGACGCTTTGCCTGGGAGGGCGCACGACCGTACGCGAGAAAGAGAGGGAAAGAAAAAGGGATCTTATATACTTTTGTGTGTGTGTGTGTGTGTTCGTAATTTAAATGCCCCGGAGCATATATGTATTAAAATGACGACGTGTAAAAATCAAACAACCGCCGGAAGACTCTCGGCGGAAGAAAGATAGAGAGACAGAGGGATGTGCTTTCGCGCCGAAAGCACAACCCCCGTGTTTCCAAAGGCTATTTTAGGTACGGGAATTTCTTCGGCCGCGCGCTTCGTAGCCGAAGGTCTACGAACTCGCGAGGCGAGTCTAAGAATTCAGCGCGAATCTAAAAATCGGAAGAGCTATACTGGCGATCGCTCACCCACTACGGGGAGAGTAACAGTTATCTGGACAATAAATAGCATAGATCCGACTGGTTACCCGCTTACTATCTCTCGCGCCGGAATGAAACACGAGGCGGTTGTTTAACGGAGCCAAACGCCGAGCGAGCGTGGAGATTACGCGGGGATAACCATCGCGCGCTTCGGAGCTATCGTCTATTTTTGAATTGCATAGATATCTGATTGCGAGCGAACGTACAAAAATCTCTAATCCTCGGGCGAACAAGAGAGAGAAAGAGAGAGAGAGGACAGAGGGGAAATAAAATGCCTGCAGTATGAAGCTTCATCCGAGCTCACGAGCAGCTTTACTCTGATTGGTCCGCCGTGAAAAAGGGAAATGAAGGAACTTCTATTCCGCGCGCACAAATTTTATATCGTCCTCAACGTGGAAATATTTTTGTCGGCGTTTTGCGCGACCACGAGGTGTCCCGGTTTCACCTGGTGAAGCAACGACGCATCGTCACGGTCGCGTTGCGCGACGTTGCGCGCGGGAGTTGTTCGAAGAGGCGCGCGTTTTTTTCAGAAATTTCTAACGAAGTAAAAGCAATCGTCGCGAAAGGGTTGAAACAGCTGTAACCGGTAGACCAGAGGGTGAAAACGCGGCTCGATGCAGCTCTGTGAAACGGCGCCGCGAAGAGCTGCTTCGCATAGGTAGCGATTGCACCGGCTCACCCTTCCGCATACTTTTCGGACCTCGTGCAGCAACGAGATTAAACGGCCCTTCTGTACACGACGGCGCGTTACTTACGCAACGTTATGTGCGCGCCGTCGAAGGGGAGAAAGAGCGGGAACGGGTGGGACAGAGAGAAAGGAAGAAGAAAAAGAGAGAGAGAGAGAGAGAGAAGAGGAACGCGCAGACTGGAAACGAAGGGGCAGAGGAAGAGATAGGGACGCGAGTTACACGGAGAACGACGGTACGAGCTAGACGGAGCTCGACGAAAACACAGAAAGAGAACGGGAAAGAAAGAAAGAGAGATATAGGTAGAGAGAGAAAGAGAGCGAGATTTCACGCACACACGCACACGAGGACGCACACAGTGGCGGAGGGATCGTCCGCGAGACACGGCGCGTGGAGCAAACAGAAACGCGTTCGAACGAAAGAGCTCGCTAAAATTAACGCGTTTCTTCTTGCCTCGATATTACTTTTCCTTCCTACGCATCGAGTTTTTGCTCGAGCTTCCTATGCCTAAGGTAATTTCCGATGGAAATAGCCGGCAGTTCGAAAAATTCAAATTGTCCGCGAGTGGACGATATACAAGTCCGACGGAGCCCCTTTCTTTCGCGTACAGTGAGGGTCAAAGGTCCGGGAGGGAACGTGCGTTAAAGTTTAACAAATCCTCGAGATACTATTGTAGACACTACAGCTTTCTCTCGGTGTGTACGATTTCATATTGTCATGCAGGGTCGTTCCTGAGGTTCTCCGATTGAAATTTTAACGAGATATCGCTTTCGAGCGGTGCTGTGACTAGACTACTCTTGAAATCAAATGCGTCCCGTCAGATCTCGCCGACGAGCTCCGATATTTCAAGATCCTGGAGCTTCTTGCAAAATTACACCGTCCGGTTAGGAGTACCGTGTCTCGCAGCGGGCAGGAATGAATTATCTCACGTGAATTTCGCAACACAACTTTCGGCCTCTTCTCTTTAGCCGAACTGGCTGCACCGATTTGAGAAATTTAAGCACACTGAAGCGTGAAAATCTCGCACGTACTTTTCATACGCTTCAATGCGTATGTACACTTCTTAAGCTGGCGCAGCCAGTTCAGGTGAAAAGAAACGACCACTTGTCCGTTTTGCTCCATCGCGCCCGAAACCGCAGAAATGCGAATCACACCGGCAGAACGCATCGTCATCATCACCACCGAGACATTTAGCAACACAGAGATATACCGTACCATCCACTGGACTGGACGCGTGAAAGAAACAGAAGAGCGCCAGGGCGAGCAGGCTCGCCATGCCGCCGCCGTCGCGGACGCCCCTCATCTTCTTCGAGCTTCCGCGAGAGCCGGTGGTCCGCCGTGGTCACGTCGTGGAGTCGTTGCCGTGCGAGGCCCGCCGGCCACCGCCGCCGGCGCGGCTCAACGTCGTCGCGAGCGGGTCGCGCGGGCGGCGGCGACGACGACCGCTGCCGCCGAGCGCGGTATCATCATCCGGCTAGCGCGGGGGTGGCGGTGACGATCACCCCGCCGACGAGACGACACTTGTCACTGTGCTCGCCGTGTTGCTGTCCCCGCTGCCGCTGCAGCTGCCGATGCCGCGGACGCGCGGCTCTCACTCGCATAAGAGCGCTCGCGTGAGAGCACTCGTCACTTCCGAGAGCACCGTTTCCCACCGCGTCGCACGCACGCGACGCACCAAGTCCGCCTACCTCTCTCGCAGGGTGCGTCGTTGTTTTCCTGGCGGCACGAACGCAGTAAACGCGCGCCGTCGACACGCTCTTTCTCTCTCTCTCTCTCTCCTCCTCTTTCCCTCTCACATCGCCCGGAGCGCACGTCGCTCCAGGTAAGCACGCCGCACGTCGCTCGCCGACCGATCGAACAACACACACATACACACACACACTCGTGGGGTTGTCGCCCTGAGCAGCGGGGTGGAGAGTCCCGGCGGCGATGGAGCCTCACGCGAGAGCGACGATCCTTCAGATTCCGCACCTCGTCGCCGTCGAGCGACGTCGTCTCCGTCGCGGAAGGCGCGCCGCCATTTTCCTACCGACCGCTATAGGCCCGGCCGATCGCCGTGCGAGGTCCAACGAACACGCTCGCGATGGACGGCTCACAGTGGGAACGCACCGTTGGCCCACGAGGGGATACCCACTGGTAGCCGTGCGTCAGCAGACTCCACCTTGCGAGCACGGCGCCTCGTCAAGCGACATCGTCGTCCTCGACCTCCTCGACGTCGTCGTCGTCGTCGTTGCGGTGGTGGTGCTCGTCGTCCTCGGCACTACGCAACCTCGGCACAACCTCGACGCGGCTGTCACGCGGCTCGCACCTTGAAACTACTTTTCGCGCTGATCGTCGGCCAGCGACTCGTGTTGCTGCTACTGCCGCCGCTACTGCCGTTGCTTCTTCAGGCCGATAGCGCTTCGGAGCACGTCGCTGCGCTTCCTCAGGATCGTACGTACTTAGGTGAGCACCACCGGTCTTGTCGAGCCGGCTCTGTCTCGCGATCGCGTCGACGGTCCAGGAAAATTCGAAGGTTCAGATAGAAATAGCATCTTGTTTCGGTTTGTCTGATCAGATTGGACGTTGAGAAAAGAGGACGTTGAGAAATGAGAAATAATAAGATAGGTAGATTTGCCTTCTTTTTATATAAAGATCCTTCAGCTGTGTCTTTCAATATTGAACGATTGCACCGAAACGAAAGATGTTGCCGAACATGCAGGATTTGGGATTCGAGGATTCTTCGCACTCATCTTCCGATATGTTCTTGCGGAATGCCGAAATGAAAGCATCGCGATCACTAGTCCTCTTCCCTTTATCTCTTGTTTTTTTATATGTACATATGTCAGTTCTACAACAGAGGAAAAAAAAATTGATACGCTACTGCAAGACAATTTGCGCATGCACCGTTTGTATTTTCGTTTCATTAGCGTCGAAGTTGGTATTTTTGGTTTCATTAGTATCCAAGTTACGCAATTCGCAAAATATGGCAATTTGACTGGTTCACTTTGCATCGTGACTGCATGCAAAAGCTATCGCGAATTAATGTGCAAGATAAGAGCGTTAGATACTTTTGCTCCTCGAATGTTTCTCATATTGTTCGGGAGATGTGAAACTTATTAAACTGCAAATGTTTACACACAGACTCGATTTGCCTCTTTTCTTGTTTTTCTTAAGAAGGATTTGGTGTCATTTCTTTACATCTCTCTTCATAACAGTTTGTTTAGCAAATTTTACAATATATATCTATGATGAGACATCAATCTCACCGTACGTATATTTTTTTTATAAACATTTATTTATAAATCTTGATAGTGTACGTTCTTATGAACTATGCGCATTATATTTACTATAGAATTAAATTTAACTTACTTATGTATAAGTTGTGTAACGATTAAAATGACGTTTTACAACTCTACAAAAACAGTATCTTTGCTAAGTCCTGATATAGTATGTTTTTTACCAGCGCGCTATGAAGAAATTTTATTAATTTCAGATAATACCGTTATAAAGTGTCATTGTACTATAATAACCCCTATTATAATCAACATACAAGTAATATTAAGATACTATTGCCCAACGCAATTGCAACAAACACTGCTTGGTATCGGCATAATACTGCAAATAATTCTAAATTTTATTCAAAATACTTTTTTGATAATAACGAACACATAAAACATTTCACATAAATTGGCCCGTAAGTATGATTGTAAAATATATAAAAATTTTGTTGTAAAAACCGAATAAAATTTAGGACTAGATATAGAGAGAAACATTCACGATGAGAAGCTTTGCAATAAGCAATTAACATAATAATAATCGCGAACGAAAATCTAATTTCTTAACATTAGAAGTACCGAACGATCATTTCCGACCGTTTCTAGATTTTTTAGATTTATATTATTTTATATATATATATTCTATTTCTTGTATAAAAGATAGGATCCTATCTATTACAGAACCCTATCTTTCATGTAAGAAATAGGATATTATCTAAAAATCTAAAAAATAGAAACGGTCAGAAATGACCGCTCGATACTTCTAATATTAACGATCGGACAAAATAAATGCCTTCTTATTATTATATATGTATATTTATGTATGTATATCTGCAAATAAATTTTTTACGATAATGCGCGGAACACATTCCCAGTGCTGGATATCTAAGTGCCGTTTAAATGATTAAGACAAGCATAACTCTGGCGGCAAACAAAAATGACGGCGTTTGTGACATTTGAAAATCATACTTATGCTAACACGAAGAGAAAGGAACGTAAATTATCTTTGTGACGCGGAAAGTATACAATGTTCTACCCATCTACTTTCCCCGTAAAGAACTCTAACATGATTAGATGATGCGTCGCATAAACTAACATAACAACACAGGCGGATCCAGTCTCTCGCATCTTTTAGAATATTTAAACGACAACAGGAGATTACTAGTAAAAAGTAAAACTTTCTTGCGATATCCTTTATTCATTGATATCTTGTAAAAGTAAAACTTTTCTTCTTCTACTTCATTCTCTCTATCTCCAGAAAAGATTACAATCTATTCTTTAACCACATTGCCTCCTCATAAATCCGTCTGTGTCCGCATATCAATTACAGGAAATTGGTACAAACTTACATATTAGCGTAAAGTAACATTGCGTGTAATCTCATGTCGTATATGATACGATACACAATCTGTATCGGTAGATTCGTCATGAAACGAACGTTAAAATAATGCGACTTGGTCTCTCTCACTCGCTCCCTTTTTCTCACACAGACACACATTCTTTCTCTCCTGTTTGAAAAATGCATCGATTCGTTTAAATTAATTCGGCAAAATCCTTGCAATCATTCGCAGATATATCGTTTGATATATCATTAGTACTATTCATCGAATTGGAAGTATTGCTTGTAGATTGGTCCGTTTCCTCTTAAATCTGCGTCTGGCTGCCCCACGCTCTCGAAATCGCGGATCTAGTGAGCCTCTTGCCGATGGTCTGCACGACGAAACCGATCCTCTGCAGCCGGTCGTGGTCCAGAATCTTTCTACCGTCGAAAATGTACGCTGGCTTCATCATCCCGGCATAAATCTGCGTGTAATTCAGCTCCTGAAAACGTTGGGATACACGTTGGAACAATAGAATGTGACTACAGTGGAATTCTCGAAAACGATCATCATAATCTGCTAATCCGAGAAATCTGCGGTAACAGAAAAGCACGGCAAGATTTTTATTGTATCGGATATATTCGTATCTCTATTCAGCAAATTATTCTAAGATATTAAATAGCCACCAAGTAGTTATGCGATGAAGCCATTAAATATTCTCAGCTATTGAGCAAGAATGCGACGACTGTATCGAAGAAGAAAAAAGTCTGCTAGGATAAGTGATCGCGCGTAATTAGCTGCGGGCAGTTTAGTTTCCTGAGCAATCTCCTGAATAATCGCAATCGTTCTGTGATCGTCAATTTGTCAGAAGACGGCACTCACGATAAATTCGTCCCATTCTGTACATAACACAATTGCGTGCGTGTCCTTCGTGGCGCTGTAAGCATCCTTGTAAATACTGAATCTTCTTTTCACGTCTTCGGGATTGTTCGTCACACACGGATGAGTCAAATCTTCGATGATCTGCGCCTCCTCGACCTACGGATTAGAAAGACGCAGTAGCATAATACGTTTAGTAATGAAGCAAGTACTCTTTTTTTCTGAAACGCCAATGTGGCGAGTAAAAAGCTCGCTTTTACACACGCGTCGGAAGAGTCTGAAACCGGTCGGCCTCTCGAGTATTCAATTAACTTTCTGTCGCATTAAACTGATTGAATCTTTAACATTTCGCGCAAAAATCGCGCCATTCGGCCCAAGGACGGTGGCGCAAAAAGTAGACGATTTCCTTGAGCGAGACGTGATTGTCCTTTGAACGTGTAATTTCGCTCAAGATGCGTGCATGGTTTGTTTGCTGCATGTACAGGGTGTCTACAAATCGCGCACTTTCCTTCAATCAATAGATTCTCCCATAAATTTCGAATCAACTTTATTTCCTGAAAATGTAGACACGTCATAACTATAGCATCAAGCATAATTCTATGAAACTTTTACTTCCGAAGTATGATTAGACGAAGAAATATCGCTTATCTCTTTGGAATGTCTGAAATTTAATTTAATTGTCAACAAGATGTTTAAAACAGCGGATTAAAAATTACGATTTACGATGAATTTCGATGAAACTTTTAACACAAGGAACAATCGCCAGCGAAAACCCGCGGTGGAATCCGTAAGTAAAGAACGCGCTGAATATGTAGGACATCCTGTATATGCGAGAAGGAGGAGAAAAAGTCTGACCTTGGGGTCGTAAATATGAAGTACGGCGCCTTCGTCCAGCAGCGTCTTGGCGACGTGAATCGCCGGTGATTCACGCGTGTCTCCCGTATTTTTCTTGAAGGCGAAGCCCAGCATTGCGATCCTTTTGTCCGTCACGGTGTTAAAGAGGGACTCTATAACCTTCGCCGAGAATCGCGACTTCTGATACTCGTTCATGTCGATCACCTGTTGCCAATAAGCCGCCACCTCGGGTAGGTTCAGGCACTCGCAGATGTACACCAGATTCAGGATGTCCTTCTGGAAGCAGGAACCGCCGAAGCCGATCGACGCATGGAGGAACTTCGAGCCGATTCGCGAGTCAAGCCCAACTGCTCGAGCAACCTCAGACACGTCAGCACCTGTGGCTTCGCATACCGCCGATAAAGAATTTATGCTGGATATTCGTTGCGCAAGGAAAGCGTTCGCTGCCTAAAATCACAGAGAGAAGTGAATGAGAAGAAATATTCATCTGTTTGAATATTCATGTCCGAAGTTCGCCGGTTTGAGCTATTTCTGATTTCTGCATGCCACGTTAGGTTTATCTTTATATCGATACGTCTTAATTTTTTCGCAAATTCGTAATCTACTTCCAAGAAGACACAGTCAATCGTCGGGTGTGAGACGAACGACGGAAAAAAGAATAATTTGCTGGTAGAACGAATTTTATGCTGTTGCAACCAAATCTGTCAGTTACTACATGGACAGCAAAACGATTTGTTAAGAATACTAATTGCCAATCGCTGGATCATTTTGCTGTAAAAAGAAATTAGTAAATGTAGGAAAACACTATTTCGTTCTAACAGCAAATTAACGTGTCCTGAGGACAAATTTGGGCAGAATATTTTTTACCCTAGCAACAAAATTGTTCCCGTCTTAATTACGAATAATTCGTTAATTTGGTCATGCTAACTAAATTTTATCGCTGTCGCTGCGAATATGCGGTAACAACCGGTGATTTCGCTACAATAGTAAAATGAGTTTTCCTCGTGCGCTCACCAGTTTCGACAGTTCTGAGCTCCACGTATTGGTGGTCAAGATATTTTCCCTCGGGATCCAATGCTCGTAAACTTTACAAAGCTCCTCGATGGCCGCCTGGCCTTCTGGCGAGTCCTCTCCGCCGATCAGCACCCGATCCGCGTTCACCAGGTCTTCTATCGCGGTGCCCTCAGCGAGAAATTCAGGATTTGAGAGGATCTGAAAGAATGATCCAATCCAGGTTAACGGAGACGATTCGGGTAGAAGTAGAGGAGAGCTCGAGAAACGTGCAAGAGACAGATCGACGCGCAACGCGTCGTACCAAGGTTGGCACCCGAGCGGGTCATGAACAGTCACGTGGGGAAATGAAGCAAGAGCGAGCTTATTACCTTGAATGGTCGGCATCGATTCGAACGAGAATGAAATCAGCGAGCGATCGTTGCCGACGAATTGACCATTGATTAATAGCGAGCACGGCAAAGGCGCAGAGTAATAGTCTTTGCGTGCACACCACGTGCGAGATATCGAGTGCTCCTGTTTCGGAGCGAGACGGTACTTCACCTGCTTTGCGCAATACGGTTGCGGCGCAGAGAGTGTACTTCGATCAATGTCATATGTTGACACAACAAATGTGTTAACTTACACGTGCGAACGGATTGTCGCGATTGATACTGTTTAAAGTAAGGTCGTGGTACTTTGTGCGGAGAAACTTTACCTGGAAGAGAGGCCTGCAACGCCTGCACATCGCAATTGGCAAACAGGCAGCGTGTTTCACTCTTATAATCCTAGTGCGATTAACGATGATGATGATGTACATACGAGAGATATGACTGAACGTGTGAAAATCACATGTGCATATGGCTTTTAAGATAGTTGTATCGCAGAGTATCGTATTTTCAGTGACGCATCAAAGAGACTACTCATCAATTTAGCATTTATCAAGCAAAATTATATTCCTATACATTTATTTCGCTACCTAAATAAATGCTAATTCGAAGCGAAGTTAAGGTAGATACGTATATATGTATGTACAATATTATGAATATGAAAATATTGCTTTTTTTCTCATTAATGCTATTTTTATGTATTAGTTGGTCCAAAAAAGACGCACAGATAATAGAAAGAGGTATATAAGTGTTTTTATTTCGAGCGTTATTATTAGTTATGGACTTTACACTGCTGTATTTTCAAAACAAAAGGATCAATAATTCTGAAATCTTTGTACACTATTTCTACATTAGTTCTTATTATCGCAGTCGTTTTTCATTCAAAATTCTAAACGTTGTTTAGAATAAATTAAAAATAAAACTTAAAATTAGGACTTTAACTTAAAGGAATATGCGTAACAAATAGCATCTTTAGTTGCAGATATTTCGCTTTTCGAATAGTCGATCTACAACTGCGCCAATAATTAGGTAATATTTAAATCTGTATATAATGTAAGTTTCAACAAATGTTCCAAAAACTCATTTTGTGTTACAACTACCTTAACGACGAGGGCGAGCGAACAACGCAGGCACAAACGATCGCTTGATCTGTTTGAACTGCGCGATTGCGGTGTCACGATCGGCGATTTTTTACCTGATAAGAGACGCCTGGCTTGTGATTAGCGCGCAGGATATTCATGATACTCTCGGCCGCCCTCACGGGCACGGTGCTCTTCTCCACGACGATCTTGTCGTCGGTCGCGATCTCCGCGATCATCCTAGCGGCGCTCTCCACGTATTTGAGATCCGCGGCCCTGCCCTTGCCGTTGCCGAAAGTCTTGGTCGGCGTGTTCACCGAGATGAATATCAGATCGGCCTCCTTGATCGCCGTCTCGATGTCCGTGGAGAAGAACAGATTTTTGCCCCGGCACTTCTGCACCACCTCATCCAAGCCCGGTTCGTAAATCGGCAGCTTCTGCGAGTTCCACTGCGCTATTCTTTCTTTGCTCTTGTCCACCACCGTCACCTGAATCTCCGGGCACTTGAGCGCGATGACGCTGCACGTGGGTCCACCCACGTAGCCGGCCCCGATGCCGCAAATCTTACGAATCTCCGTCATCCTGGTCGACTGTAACATTGACCGGCGAATCGTCGCGTCAAAATTCACTTCTCATAGTCGAGCAATTGTATTATTATACAAGAATGTATTTGGAAAGTAAATTCGAACGCATCGCACTTCTACGGGAGGGAAGAATTATTTATGCAAAAATATAAGCAGTCCACGCGATTCGAAAACAACTCTTATCGTCTTTGACATGTTGAGCAACGTGGTGTGTTTTATGAGATATATCACCATCGAGCGCGTAAACCGGAATATGCTATTCTTCCGCGGCGAGGTCGATGTATTTGATCAATCTGGGCCAATCTTAATTACGAGCAAGCAGAGATTAAGAACCGACAAAAGAAATGTTGAGCACCGAGTTCTCGTTACTGCAAACTTCTTTCTGTCGTACATTGGAGAACGTTTCCTTTCAATGAGTCTATTATCTTAGAGCTAAACCTTTGGCAAATATCCAATTATCGGCATCGGTTATCGCTTTAGAAACATGATGGAATCGACCTTGAAAATAACAATAGAGATATGGTAAAATTTACATTATCACCACGACGTGTGTTTATTCAAGAGTTAACATATAATTAACAATTCCCGTTAAATGACTATACCTTTTATATGTGTCGTTCGACTGGAAATCAAATCAAAGCACGAGATTCGGACAAATTCTTTTTTCGACGGAGCCTACCAACCGACTGATTCCGGAAGAAGCACAGATCCGTCCGTATTCCACGGGCGGATATCCGCATCTTTCCATCCGTTCTGAATCATTTTAATATCAAGGAATACAAATTACTCGCGATAACAACATATCGGAATCCCCGGGCGGACTGATAAAAATGTATCTACCGGCTTTTTGACAGCCCACGTCAACGATGCTCCGAACGCACCGTGTCAGCCCACGCTTCGCACACGCTCCGCCTCGTCATCCGGCGGCTTGGAGGTGCTCCTTCGCGCAAAATATCACATCGAATTCTCCGTTGCCAGAACGATCGCTCTCAATTATTCCGCGGGGGAAGATATAATTATACGATCAGCGGCGAGAGATGAATTTTGATTCGGAAATTCACGCTCGAGAAGCGGAGCGCGCACCTCTTCGCGCGAGAGGATACGAGAGGAGATACCCGGGGTAGGTAGCAGGTTTCCTGTTTCTTTACCTGCTGTTGCTGCTCCCGCTGTTGCTCTTGGTCGGTTGGAGAGCAGTGGATTCTCAAAAGCGTTCAGCAGCGGTGCGACCTGACGACGAACGCTCCGGGACGGGCGAACGAGCGAGGAACGACGCGGAGGAACGTACGCGTTTCTCGCGGTGAAGGAACGACAAGCGGAACACCTCTTCGGCTCATAACAAGAAGCCACGGTGCACTGCGAGCGCCGAGTCGCCTTGCGAATTCCGCCTCTCGCGCTAATTCCAAACGTTATGCGTTCGTCATTTCGCGAGACTGTGCGAAATGGAAAAGCCGAGGCCGCATCGTCCCCGACTCCATGTTGCCACGTCGGGGACTTCTACAGCGCGTGCGTAAATAACTGGCAACGTTGCGCAACGTATTTTTGAAGTCATTCATGACGATCATTCTTGGGCCGCGCGCTCAATAGCGAAGGAAAGGGCGCGTCGCGCGACCGAAGGGCCGAAATCGGGCGCGACGGGTGCGGGAAAATTCGCACGCACCTAAGTAAACGTGCTTCTCACCTACCCTTTTTCCTTTCTTCGACAGTTAACGACGTGAAAGGTAAAGTTGCGTTCACTCGATTCAACGTTTCGGCGTTCGCGGCAAAAAGATTTCGGCACGTATCGCTCTTCGTGACGATTCTCGAAGTCCGGAGAGAGGTTTCCCAGGTAGCGCATGTTAGTTTCACATATATTCTTTATATGTATATAACGTTTCATAATCAATATTATATTAGATACGTTTTAAGAACGGATATGAAACTAAGTGTGCCACCTGGGTTGCGGGTTGATTTCACAAGTATCACGTTTACTTTTCAATACAACGCAACTTTTCGACGTTCTTTTATTTACGTAGCGTGCAACGACGAAAATATAAAGTGAAACAGAGAATATTTTTAGCGCAATTGCTTGTAACAAGATATAGTACGCGTGCTATATCGGGGAGCGAATTAAGGTGCACCTATCACGTTAAATTATGGTGACCTTTCAGTAGTACATAATGCAGGAAGTCGTTAAAGCCCATCATCCTTAATCGGGCGGATATAAATAGCAATTCGATACATGCTTATCTTAAACGGGCGATACTTTTTGTTTTGCGGACGTAAATACTGATCATCGGCTTTCGAGTAGCACTAAATGAAGGAATAAAGAAAGGACGAAAATCGAAATCAAAATATCGTTCCTCTCTTTTATGTGTATTTTATTTTCATTCCAGATATATTCGTCCAATAACTATTAAACGCAAACAATAGACTCATAAATAATTCGATGGAGATAACTCGCAGGTAACCGTTTCACGGACGATGACTCATGGTGATTCCTTCATTGAATTATTCATTAGCATGACGAGAATTACGAGAAATAAATTACACGTGGGCTATTATGTAGATATTTATACGTATTGAAATTATCGTATTTGCCATCCTAATCTTTGGAATACGACATTAAAAATTATACGGTGATTCCTAATAGCACGATTCCTTGATTGCCGTTACATTGGCCAATGTAAGGATTGTGAAACTATCTGTTTAACGATGAAAGGAAAAATATATATTTTAAAATCAAATATATATACTTTAAAATCAAAATGTACTGTAAAATCAATCATCAATCATGCCCTTCAAGGCATATTATGGGCTCATTTAGAGAACCTATTATGGAACTGTTCGGAATCGATTCCGATCTGAATCTTTTAATTATGTCCTATAAAATACAAAAAAAATCTAGGGAATAATTAAACAATTCCGATTGGAATCGATTCCGAACAATTCAATAATAAGTATCCTGCTTTAAGAATTTTGATGAAGAAACTCGACGAAAACAAATGTGAGAACGCAACACGTAATGTCGTGCCAGCGTTTAATTTTGACTTCCGCTGCCACAAGGCTCGTTCAATGTCTCTGCAAATTGACACATTCGTATTTCGTTCAACAAACCTTCTGATACGTACACACACATTTCCCTGAAAATGTTTGATCCTCCTTGTTCTTTTCCAAAAACGTAGAAGAAGAGTAGAACCAGTTATATTATTTCGCAAATCCGACGATTTGAAAGATCTGTCACATGACCCGCCAGTCGGCGGGTATCTTACGGTGTTCACGGGAGATGTCAGCACCAAGCTGTCGAGGAGTCACGAACGTGGCATCAGCGACCTCTCGTCGCGAGCGTGACCCGTCAGCTGATGCTCCGGCGCGTTGTTTTTAGCCGACTGGGGGCCCCGGATATCGGTGTGTGTACCGCGTGGGAGTGGAGGGGATGGAGTTACGAACAACGGGACTCGCCGTCGGCTGTCGGGTAGCGCGACGAAATCGGCATTGTTCATCGCACGCACGGCATTTGAACGCGACCTGAAGCCCGTGCCATCGGCTCGGGAGATCCGGTGAACACGTGCACCCTCAGCCACAGTCCCGTTTGTTTTCCTGCAGTTCGCAGCCCGCAACACGCCCGTGGCACGTCGTTCCTCGTAGTGCACGAAATGACCGTCCGACGTATCTCCGCACGTTTTCGCAGTTTAGATTAATCCAAGTCTTGTCCGAGCATCGTGTCGACGAATATATGATGAATAACGTGACAGTGAGTAGACTTTGATCCCGCGCCGTCTCTAATCTCTAATCGGATAGGCCTGATTCGCTGCTTTGTTAAGTGACCCCGCTCTATCAGCGCGTACACGCAATGTCAATTCATTCGGATATCGCGATGTATACTGAACATATCTGCGCATACTTTATGTATTGTATAAATAATCTTGACCGAAAATTAATATATATGAATATTGGAAAATGGATATGAATGCCGCATTCATTCTTAATAACGCGCTTAATGCGTGAATGATAACATCAGAACAGGTTGTTTCAAAAGTCACGCGACTTTCCTATTTTTTTCTTTTTGTTTTCTTATTACAGATATAATTTTTAACTGTCAATTTTTTAAGCTGCTTGTTTTGAGGCTGCCGTCGTATCCTTTGTGGATTTGTTACTGACGTTTCGTGAACTTTCCAATTGATTTCTTCAGAGATCGGGATATCTGAAATACCTGAAATAGTTTCATATGTCCTTTTCTCTAAAGAGGTCTCTCTCAGAGATAAATTTGTGAAGAACATGGTACCAACTCAAAAGCCAAATCGACTATTTCTCCATCCTGTGAAAATTTCAACATCAGATTTTGGAGTCGCCTCTTTTCCCTTTTGTTTTCTTAGCACAAATTTACTGAGAAGAATCAATTTTTTGCACTATGTTAACTAAGAAAATTTTATTTTCTTTAGTAAGTACATATTCTTAAAGTTGTACTTTTTAAAAAATATTCTGTGTATTATTGGGCTAGTCAAAAAGGATTTGATGTGAGTTTTTACCCTCTTAGATGATAAATCAATCACTTTCTACAATAAGAATATACTAATATTGAGAACGTCGATGAAAAATTATTAAACAATGACACTTGATTGTCAAAGTTGTTTATATTGAATGCAATATCAAATTCCATTCAAAACTTGTATTGAACTTATTGAACTTGTACTTAATATATTTGTATGATTGTTTTTGTTACTTGATTGTTACGCATATTTTATATCTTCAGAGTATACTACACGCGATATATCGGGGGTTTGTGGACAGCTTGAAGGGTGCTGTTGTCCTCTTTTACATGGATAAGCAGATTAATGAAAGATTGGTCAAGAAGTCTCCTATCACAGCAGATCTTCGAAAGAGAGACTCATTTACGCACAGTCCTTCCAAGCATAGCAGTCAACAAAGGTATTTTTATCGTTACCTCATCTTTACACAGAACAAGTACGACAATATAGTCTTATATAGTCTTATGGTAATACAATTAATTAATCTGCTTCATTTCAGAGAGTCTAAGGTGCTGAAAAGGACCATTCAATGCTGTGCATTAAATGGTGGTGTATTTTGGATTAGCATAGTAATTTTCGATTACGGAATCTTGCCGTTTCTCCAGTACTTATTGACTCTAATATTCGGTCATTCCTCCGGCACCGCAGTCACTGTATGGTCATGGACCCAACCATTTTTATCTCTTACATTTGGCACTGTATGGGTACTACCATTGTTCTTGCTCAGCAGGATAGTTAACAGCTTATGGTTTCAGGTACGACTTCTTCACTGAAGTTTTTTGCGAAATTTCTTTCATTATTTACAAAATTAGATATCATCAGGCAGTGTATATATATATATATGTTTGTGTGTATAATGTACATATATATATAATAGTACATATGTGGTATATTTATAAATCCATGTAGGATATAGCAGACAGCGCTTATAGATACAGACAAGGGAGGCCGATGCTTCTGTCAAGCGTCAGCAAACTGATAGCCGACACGCTTTTCAGCATATTAGTTCAAGCTTTGTTCTTGGGGCAAGGAATGTTGGTATCCAAGATTCCTCTACCTCTGCTAGGCGAACTTCTTGCCCTTGTCCATATGTGCCTTTTATATGCTCTCTATGCCTTCGAATACAAGTGGTTCAATATGGGCTGGGAGTTGCACAGGCGATTGACTTTTATTGAAGGCAATTGGCCATATTTTGTAGGCTTTGGTCTGCCATTAGCGGTACTTACCCAACTGCCCAACTCGTACTTTACAAGGTATGAAATAGTTTTCCCGATTGCTGTTTCCTCGAGACTTAAACAACTTGATACATGTCTTTCCCATTTAATCTCGGAGTTTTCTTTAACGTTTTCTATAATTTTGAGAATCATAACTTTATAAATTAAACCCTCATCAAAGCCTATTAATCTTAATAATAATTTTAATGTAATATAATTAAACTGAGGATTTCTAAACTTAATAAGATAATGATCTTTTGAACGTTTATTAAGAGAAAGATTTACACTGCGTTAACGGTAAAATATAATTATGAAATGCATTATTTTCAGTGGCTGTGTTTTTTCCATATTGTTTCCCCTGTTTATTGTAAGTGGAAACGAAGCAGAACCCGTAATTGGAGTGTGGTAGGTTTCTAAATCGTGTGATGTTTAAGGTATATTTATCTGTCATATGATTTATTTATTAATATAATGCAAATAATGGTGTTTCAGTGATTATCCATTGAAATTATTTTCGCCGGTAATTGCAATGGCAAACACACTTTTTAACAGAACCATTGGTCGAGCGCACAGACGGTGACAACCTTAATGCAATAAAAAGACAAATAATGTATGTAGTAATCTTCATTTTTCACAATACATTTGAAATAATTGCTACATAAAAAATAACATTCGGAAAAAGTTTTTGGATACATATTACTTGCTATTGCAGAGGATGATGGTTCTCTCGTCGTTTAGACGAACTTAAGTTATCTGGGGGATGTGCGGAAAATATGTTTATCTTTTGACACTAAGAAAATTAAAGTAATAAGACAAATTTTATACTTTCTATTGACATTTAGATCGCGAAGGAAATACCCAATTATGTTTTAATACGTAGGGAGTGATCGGTACAAATATTTATTTAGCGCTATGAAAAGTGTAACGGTACATACCAAAAATATCGCAAATCTTGGTGTTATAATAGACCTTGAGAGTGTCATAGACCTTGCGTCACTTTAAAGTGTATGATCCACTTATGGCATACTTTAAAATGATATAGTATGGGAAAGCATTTATGATATTTTGAGTATGGTTATACGTGCGACTTGCTCGGTCGTGGCACACAAACCTAAAATTAATAATTGAGCAACTTTTATCAGAATTCACATGTTTTAAGCTTTCTACGCTGTAGCTAGTCATTTTTCAATATCGAATTTGTGATCTCCAATCGGCGCTGTGTTATTTAAACGTGTATTATAAACATATATTATAAAAATAATACGCGACAAGTAAGATATCCAGTCCAGTTACGATATAATCTCGATATAAAGTAGTGCTGAAATATTATTCCAAATATTAAGACAATTCTAAATAAAATGGTGCTTCGTGTGCACATGATTATTTTATATTTTTATTTCTTGCGGATGTTATATTAAGACCAAACAAAGTGATTTAATTTGAAGGAACTTTTATGCATAGTTGCCAATAGTCACTTTAATCAGTCGAGTCTGATACTGATTATTGAATGTGCATTGTGCCATACATATCATTCATAATATCGTTCATAGGATGATTCGTCCGAGAAATGAGTTCATGGGAAATTAAGGCGAACGAAAAGTGTCGTGAACATGACGATAAAATACTGCTAATAATGTATAATAAGGACATTTCAATTTGTATAATACTGCTAGGGCAGCTAATATTTACTACTTTTGTCATGAAATCGATCATTTTATACACTATGGCTTAAATAAATATTATACAAATATTGAAAAATATCTTGATTGCATCAACGATTTAAAAATTAAGAAACCATAAGATAATATTTGATGGATGTTTTGATTTTATAGGTTATATATATATATATATATATATATATAATATTATATATATTATATATATATATAATTTTTTAATCTACTATTGACGATAAAATACAACACTGAACCAGTCATTCAATGAATTGATATTCACAATCACGCGAGAAGATCTTGCAGCGTTAGCAGATCGTGATCCGACGGTTCCTCTTTCGCTCTGTAAGAATTCAACGCATAGTGCCTATGTAGTGCCGCGAAACCCAACCCTGGATCAGTTTCCACCTCCGTTATTGGACTTGCAGCTCGGTCGATCATTTGATTTTTGCTTACCTGTAAAATGTGATTAAATGACGATGGAATTCAGAAGTAGAACGACAATTCCATTCTTCAAGTTATCGCGATTTAAAATGATCACTTAAAATGTGCACTTTCGGTTTGGATATATATCCTACATACGTACTTCGAAACGTTGCTGTTTGTACATGACTAATTTACGCGTTCCCGGCGAACTTTGTATCAGATTCTGTATGGTAGGGTGAGAAATCCCAAAGAAATCCGCGCCCTTTGGCATTATCGAACGAAGTGTCGGGGAAATCGCTGCCAACAATTTCGAATGGCACTCATCCGGGCTGGATCCCACCAGTGGTTGATCTAAGTCGTTATCAGATACTATCTCGAATCTGTAAATCAAATTACGCCTTACTCCTCCCGAACACGATCACTGTTCCTTTTCACTGATAGACAGTCCGTTACCTAGGTTTTGGACCACCGTCTAATATTTTACAAGTATATAAACTCTTGGTTCGTGGATCTCTCAAGTTAGCATACACCCTGGTACTGCAGTAGCCTACTGGGAAGATGAGATCTTCCGTGTGATACGCGATTCTATCCGACACCACTTCGCCGAGAGAATATATCGTGAGGTCTCCTAAACCTATGGGAAATATCGGCCTGCCGTGCATATCCAATGGAATCAACTGTACTACTCTTCTGGTAGTTTTGTTGTATCTTTTCGTCTTGCTTTTTGTCTCTGCAAAAGAAAAGAGATAACTTACAGGAGAATTCTTATAAGGGGAAAGAGGTGTTTCAGCATGTTGTTAGCCATACAGATTCTTTGTCGTGTAAATTATATGTTTCTTACATGTATATTACAAACACATTGACATTAGCAATAGACGTTTATTATACACAGTGTGCTACTTTTGTGGTCAACTGGGGATACACCAGAAAGACATACCTGAACCATCCGTGGAAGTTCTTTTCTTCACTGTCTTCTTGGGCGTAGCGCATTCTGGATTAAGTGACGGCGAGTTGACACTCGACTGTGAACGCGCTATCATAGAGTTAGACTCTTCGCCCTGTTGTTGACATAACTTGCGCAAGAGGAACAGTCTCTCTTCTTTAACGAGCATCAGGTTCTCTTGCATGTGTGCTACCTGGTCGCACAATGCTGCGTTTTCCTACATTGGAAGTCAAATTATATCTGATGTTGCGAATAAACGCCGGAGTATACGCTTCCAAGCGAGCTTACAAATACAGTGTTCTTCACGATCCTCTTGAGTTTCCGGTATTTCTTTTTGTACTTTAAGTTCTGCTGCAGCTCAGCATTCTTGCGATAGTCGTTATAATAGTTGTCATACGCTTGAGCCATATCACGTTAGTAAAATTAACCAAGAAAGCACAGGTCAAAGCCCGTCCGATGTCACAACACTTCTATATACTTCTACTGCTAAAATCTTTCGTACTCCTCTCGACGTTCGCGACCTCTGCTTCTTGTCAGCGAAAGATTTGGTCTGTTCTTTTTAGCTGCTCTGTTGAAATAGCGCGATAAGTTACGGCTCCTGTCCACAGGACGCGGCAACGCTTGCCGCGCGGCGGAAGTTCGCGCGGTAGCCAATAAACTTCTAGTTCTTACCGAAAAACATATGTTGATTGGCTACCGCGCGTCACTTATTGCACCGGTTCAGCAGTGCAACGAAAAAGAACAGACCATTAGGCTGCGTTCAGAAAACACAAGCGATCAGTGAACGGTAGTGATTAGTTGGTCTTTGCTGTTAGATCCCTAAATGTTGACCGATTATCATAACGAATTCCGTTGTGAACAACCGTTGTGTTTCCTGAACGCTGATCGCCGTTTCGATCATCATGACGCGAGATCGACACTCGAATGGTCGCGGTGGACGACGATAGCTCGAAGTCGAGGCGCAAGACGATCGATCCCGTGGCCACCACACCCGCGCCCTCCGCTCGTTCTCGCGCGCACGCAATCGATATCCTTATTCCTGTCAAATGGATAATCATGGCAGCGACGGCGATTGATACGATGTTGCAGAGCAATGGCTTTCAGGCGAAAAAGAAAGAGGACGTCGACAATAAGGACAATTTGTGGTACGTGCGCGCATCATGCGATGTTAGCCGTGTGTCAGAATGTGCCGCGAGTCGGCCGTCCGTTTTCGACCGTGCCTACTCCCGTGCGAGCGATGCCGACCTTTTTCACATGGGCATCCTGCGTGAGAAAAATTCCCGACCGCTTTAACCGCCTCTCACCCGATGTTGTCGTATGCTTCGCAGGTCGTCTATTCTGGCGGAAGTGCAGAACAGCGGCAACAACAAGCTACCGTCGAACAAAAATGTCCTCGTACTAGGTAAACGTTTTTTCCTCCCATCGATCTTCGCCCTAGAGCCGATAGTCCGTGTCGAAAGCAGCTTGCATATTAAGCATTCGCTACTGCCTGATGCATGTGTCATCGGCGGCGAAAAAAGCGTCATGTCGCCATATCTGTGCTACTTAGTCACTCGATATAGATCTGCTTTCTTATCACCGTTCTTTCATGTATCCTGATAATTTGCTGTGCCTTACTGACAGGTTATATCAGTAAAATATATCGTACCGTGTGTAGAAGCACACCGATGCTTGCATTTCTTATAAATCATTAATGTCAAATGTAATATAATTGTGAGCTATTGTTACTATCGTAGTGACAAGATATTGTTATGATAATATAGGATAATATTATACTACCGTAATAATATGCTACTATCACAGTAATGTGATATTATTGTGGTAATTATATATATATATATATATATATATANTCTCTCTATCTATCTATATCTTTTAGGTGACAATGAGAGTGGAAAGACTACACTTATAGCTAAACTACAAGGCGTGGAGGACCCAAAGAAAGGATCCGGATTAGAATTCGCTTATATCGATGTCAGAGATGATTATAGAGATGGTTTGTACAAGATCAAGGGATACTTATTTATCAACTGATCTAATATCTTGACAGATAGTACATAGAATATGGTTCCATTGTACAGATCACACGAGACTTTCGGTATGGGTTCTGGATGGGGACCCGGGTCACGCAAATCTTTTGCGATTTGCTTTGAACAAAGAGAGGTTTCCACACACGCTTGTCATGTTAGTCGCTGCCATGACTACACCTTGGGCAATTCTCGATCAGCTTCAATCGTGGGCGGCACTATTAGGCGATCATATTGACAAATTACCTTTAGATAATGACACTAGGCAACGGTGCAGGCAACTTAGTAAGTAGAATCAAGTGTGGTAGATAAACACTCTTCAACTAAAAAAAAAGGCTGAAAATGCACTGATCGTTTAATATTGCGATAATTTGGTAAAAAAGAAAGTTGCAGCAATATATTCTGCACGACTGTTTGAATGTTACCGATGCTGACACCTTTGATCGCTTTATCTGTCGCTGGGTATATTGCTTGGTTTGTGAACTTAAATTCCTGAGATTGACGGAAAGCTAAAATTCAATCCGCATTTTTATCAGTGGGAAATTGACATTAGGTTATCTGAGAACTTAACACGTGCGATTTTATTTCTACAGATATTAAAAAGTGGCAAGACTACACAGAGCCTGGAGACGAACTTGATCCTGGAAGTCCTCTACGACGCACTAGTCGTAATCTGGACGACGACACCGCCGAGGGCTTACCTCTGCCGGAGGGAGTACTTATAACCAATCTGGGTTTAGACATTGTCGTGGTTATAACGAAAACCGATTACATGTCTACTCTCGAGAAGGAGCAGGATTACAAGTGAGTGAAGGATTCGAGTTAACACGATATACTAATCTCCATTTTGTCAATCCTCCTTACGAACTCTCAATTCTCTCTTTCAAACAGAGACGAACATTTCGACTTTATGCAACAATGGATCAGGCGGTTTTGCTTGCAATATGGCGCCGGTCTCTTCTACACATCGGCGAAGGAGGATAAGAACTGTGATTTGCTTTATAAGTATCTTACGCATAGGATTTATTCTTTACCGTTCAGAACACCAGCTCTGGTCGTTGAGAAAGATGCAGTACTTATGTAAGACATGATTTACAAGCGAAGAAAGGCATTTTCCTCTTCCTTTACACTATTATGTTAACACACGTCGTCCGCAGACCCGCTGGTTGGGACAACATGAAGAAAATCAGCATTCTGCACGAGAACTTGCAGTCCATGAAGGCGAGCGATTACTATCGCGACGTTATCGCGCAACCAGCGACAAATCGAAAAGTACGTACTACTTTGCACTTTCAATCGACACGATGTCGACGGATATATTTTCTATTTTGTCATACCATATATACTTCACATAGGTACTTCAAACCTATCAATCACTTAAGTGTATTGGCGAATGAGATTCGATATAATCGATTTTTTTTTAATGATTACACAATTCTTTGAAACTCAAACTAAGTTTTCTTTGTGCGTAAATTCAGATCAGATTTTTCAAAATCTCTTTTGTCCCTTATTTTGTCACTTATTTTCCCTTTCTTTCTCGTATTTATTACATGCACATCTTGCGATTGTGAATACATCGTGCCGATTATAACGCTTGTGTATCAATTTTCCAAGAGGAATATTTCTCCTGTTTATTTAAATAGATAATAATAATAATATTAGCAGAAGACTATTAATATTTGCCATCGGCTTATATAGTGCGTTGCAAGGGAAATGGAGATTCAGGCGGAGGAGGAGCAAGCTTTCCTCGCGAGGCAGCAGGCCGCTCTGTCGGGCCTGAAGGATCCCACCCGGTCTCCGACCACTCGGAACCAGGCAAGCACCGGGCCGGTGATACAGGTTATACCATTCATATATAGAGCATGCTCTTCATGTTGCGTGTGAATAATAGAGAGATGCGACGTTCCGAAGGCAACAGCGTTGCACAACTAATCTCCTCATCGCAGTCACGAGTTGTTCGAGTTGTCCGTTGTTCTCATTACGCCATTTGTCAATTTCACACTGACGGTTAGTAATCTGGTGATGGACATGTACGTCTCCTTTTTTGCGGTTTTCCGTTCGCGTTGTGCAGTTCGATCGTACTCTCACATAGCTGTTTCGTTTCGCCACATATAGATCAGATCCACTCATCATTCGATGTTCAAAGTACCTCTGTCCTTCGTGTATTACGAGCTTGCGCCTCTAGGAACCCGTACTCGCTTGATATGTATATTCACGAGTCCGTTAATGGAGCGCATTAACATAGCGGCATCATGCTGTAATGTCCCAGCATATCCAAGCCATCCGTTTAACCGTGCAGCGACTTCATTTAATTGATACATGGAGAATGAGACGATCCAAGTCGTGTCGTCGACACGCTGTACATTTCTCGCAACCACGCTGCGCCACGAGAGCACGTCGTCTCGTTTTAACGTATCCACGTAACGTAATTTCTATTCCAGCCGTCATCCTCGTGTGGTCAATGCAGTTAACATTTGAAAGCATGTTCTAATCTATGTGGTATGATCTGTCCATTATACGCCGTTCTTTAATCTCCCCTGCGACAGCGGACAGGTATTATAACGGTCTTGCGAACAGGTGGCGTCGCCGAACAAGAAGTTGGATCCCAAGGGCACCGGTGCGACGCCGTCCGGGGAGGGTGTCTTAGCTAATTTCTTCAATTCTCTCCTCTACAAGAAGAGCGGAGTCCCGCCCGGCTCACCCAGCACGCCCGGCAGCGTAGGAGCGAGCCCGATAAAAATCGGTACGCGACACTGTTGCACCGAGAGAAAAATATAGTTATTGTCGGGAACAATATCCTATTTTCATTTTAACTACAGAAATGGTGAAGAGAACGATTTTTCTAGTAAGTGTTATTAGAAAGTGTCAGTGATAATAACCTTACGTGCATGTTTTTACTACTATTTTTGCGAGTTAAAGTAAGAAAAGGATATTATTGTCGCCGAAGATAACTATATTTTTCTCTGATACAACCGTAAAGATCTACAATAGTGTAAAACGGGGTCTACAATGAGAATTTAAGATTCAAGCTTTAAGCCGTGTGAAATTGACCCAGTCAGGTGTGAGAAGAATAATCGATTGTGATCGGTTAATTTCTCACCGCTTAAATCTTAAAGCTCAAGTCTTACATATTAAATTTTCACTGTACGCCGTTTAAAATGTGCAATAAGCAGTAAGATAATTGACCAACCACAAACGATTATTCTCGGACTGTAAGAATCGAATTGGTCAATTAGCTTACCGCTTACGCCTTACCGCACGTTTTATGCTATTGTAGGCTATAACGACATACTCGTTTTGCGGCAACATTTTCACTCAATGACGTTTCACGCCGCAGACAGTGCGCCGGTGGACAAGGCCACGATGTGCAACGACGCGGTAGCGGAGTTGGATCGTCTCACGCGGACCAAGAAGCTGTCTCCCCCCAATCTGAACTCGTCGTCTGAATGTTAAGAGGTAGATCGCGCTTTTTCTCTTCGCGACCCGTTGCTATGATGAAGAAGACGACGAGGCGGAGGAAGCCTCGTCGCCATCGGACCAGAATTTTCAGATTCACGCGAACGTGGAGCATGCTGTGAAACGGTAAGGTCGCGGAGGACTAAACAATCTAGCCCTAATCAACGATAGTTAACCCGATCAAACCGAGGAAGATCCAAAATGAAGAAAAAAGGAAAAAAGAATAAAAATATAAAAAAGTATATATATACATATATACATATATATATACATATATATATACATATATATATGTGTGTGTGTATGTGTGTGTGTGTGTATATATATATATAGTCTGTCACCGTGCAACACACACTCTGCAACAGCCTCGATTGTTGTGTTTGACTAAATATCATTAACGATGCAGAGAACAACTAGAAAGCTATTAAATTAATGTAATTAAATATTTAATATAATAATAATAAATCGAAAGATGCTTACGCACACATGCCCCAGCGCCTGGTCATAGTAAATTATTTAGCAATCGCCCGTGCGCGTCACGGAACGAGTTTTTCTACTGCTATACCCATACACACACACATACACGCGTATATATATATACGCACACACAACATAGACACGAATGCACGAATCTTTGTCTTCTTTGTTTTCTTCTTTGTAAGAACTTCATTTTTCCTCTCGCGAGGTAAACTCCACGGCGGATCGCTACCGATATTCCGATCTAATCTTTTTACGAAGTGCCGTTAGCGTTGCGAACACGTGTCGTGCGAGCGCATGAGAATAGCCTTTTATACGAGAATTGCGCATGAAATATTACGCGAGAGTCCTACACGGAAGACGGCGGCGCGGTCTTCGGATTTAGGGATAGCTACGAGAGAGACTGCAACGAGTGGATGTTCATATCGCGCGTGTAAATTCGATACTTTCCTCGTAGATTTCTAGCCGAGTACGTTACCTGAGAAGGCATATGAACATATAGAAATCTGTAAATTCAGTTATCATATAAATGTGGCTTTATGTATATGAGATTCGAATTCTCGAGGAAAATAAATAATTTTTCGTATAACTCGTTTTTCCACCCGCATTTGTTTTTACCCCGAACAACAGTCCGCCGTGCGTTTCATTCAACAATCGAGAGAGGGACCTTCGACAGGCCGATATTTGTATGGATGGGATTTTGTGTGCGATATGTTTACAAAATTCGTTTATTGAATTATCGGATAGAATACAGCAAAGGTCATATGTGATAACGTAACTCTCTTACTACGGGACGATAATTGTTGTTGTTCATAATATCATATTATATAATTTGCATCGTACACGCGTACCATAATGCGTTCACTTGAATAAAAAAGAATTTAAGGGAAAGCAATAATGAAATCGATAGAAATACTATTAAAACAGGAATGATTTGCGCGAGTATGAATAATTCCGTTCGATGAATTTAATTTCCGTTTCTCTCATACCTTTCATTCACGAATCCTTGTCCCAATCTTTATCGTTATGTGTTTCGGTACAAGCAATTGTCTAGCCCGAATTAGTCGAAAGATAATTGGACAATATATAAATATCAGAATTCAACACGATGCAAGTTGTACGAATCAAATCGAGTATAATACCACTTATTCATACTCGGACGTAACATATATTAGCGAAAGCATTATTACGTGAAATATATACAACAAACGTGTAAAACCGACGTAGAAAGAGGAAACTGGGGTAATCAACTTTACTAATTTATAATTCATATATGATAACAATAGAGTATATAATCGAATCGGTAGCGGTGTTACCGAAAACGTATTTGTCGACTACGCGATAACAAGTAACATCATATATGTCAGCAGGTCCTATCTAGCAAACAATATAATTTCATTTCAACGCTACAAAAGATAAAGAACTACATACGAATGCGATATCACCACCTATCGATTTTGGCCTAATAATCGTGGAAATTATTCAAGATAAATATATATATAGAGGGGTTTTTACGTATATATATATATATATATATATATAAAAACCCCTCTCCACACACACATGTGTGTGTGTGTGTGTGTGTATATGAGTAATAAATATATGGAAGAACTCCTTAATGTCTAATGTGAGTGGCGCGATATAAGCTTTTCTCGCTCTTCAATTATACGGAAGGACAGCGATGCGTTCTCATGAACGATAAATAAAATCTTCGTAAACTTTAGATTGGAAATGCGTTGTAGTTACAATTGTGTCATACATGACGCAGCTTCCTAACAGAGTAATGTATAATGTAATGTATAATTGTGTAAAACAAGTTCCTCCATCTCTTTCCCTTTCTCTTGCCACAAATGCGAATATTAAATAATAATTGTGCGCATTTTGCATTCGATACGGCTAATCGTCACTTGATACCAGTTCCAGTCACCATATACGTTTCATCGTCTTACCGACCATCGCAGCTCGAAGATTATTGTTGATTCTATAATTAATATTTACGATTAATACTTATGATTATGACATTTTTTTTTTTACATTTAACGCGACGCATATCGCACTTCGCGCAAATCAACTCGTCAGGACGCCGTTGTCGGAATTAAACGCGGTATGAAGGAACGATAGTAGCCCTTTTTTCGCAGCTGCGAAATGTCGCAATGGGTTTAATTCGCCCTCTCTCATAATCACTGGCGGAAAATCCAGCGCGCAAGCAGCGACCCGGCGGTCCTTTATTTTTAGTAGAGCAAAATGCGCTTGTCGACCGCCTTGCGACATATCGGACATTCCGACATCCGGTCGCCGCACATTTGGCAGGTACCGTGTCCGCACAGGAAGATCATGTTTTTTAGACGATCCAAGCAAACCGGGCACATAGTCTGCAACAATAAAAAAAAAATTGGAATCGACGATTATTCCTCGTGACGCGTTTCTGTCGAAACAGTCGACCGTCACGAACGAATTATTTTACGATCCACACTTCTGTGTTGTATTCGATGTTTATCGATTAATTCGGAGTCAATTTGAATGAAAATTTAACCTAGGAGACTGTCTTCTTTTAGCGATTTTTTTTTATTTACTACCAAAAACTCTGATATAGAGAAGACCGGGGCAAATTGGTTAAAAGGCTAAGTTGGCTAATCGATTATTTCTATTATTTTCTAACAGATTACAGAATTGAGCAAGCAGAGATTACAAACATGTCAAAGATTAATTATGAAATCCTTATTTGTTCGATTCTATAACTTACAGAACAACAAAAATAATCAATTAGCCAACTCATTTCTTTAGCCAATTTGCCTCAGTCTCCCCTAACCGATATTCTAATTAAATTTTGTTATTAAATGAAGAATAAGAGGTTTATGTTACAACTTTTTCTAAGATTACATTAGATATTATAAAGCTTAATTTGCGGAGAATCGATAGTAATAATAATAAGATCGTAATGCTGATGATTATGATTATAAAATTATTATAATTATAATAATTATGATAAAATATAGGATAAGAGGTTAATCTTTTCCGAACTGGCAACAAATCCAAATTTCCAGCACGAGAAGAACGGTTATAGAGCCTGAGGGTGATTATTCCGTACTTCTTTCTCGAAGCTACCGGCGGTACGCGTAGATTAAACAAGATGATAATTAAAGTTGGAACGTGCACGGTAAAAAGGTTGAGAATTCAGCGCCGCTAAGAAAACGTATCCTCATGTTCTCCATGAGCAAGACGTAATTGTACAGTGCGCGGCGCGGACTTCTTTCGGCGCAAACGAAATTATTCGTTTCATTAAAGCGACGCATAACGAAGCGAGACGCGAAAGAGACACGTACCTGCTCCTTGATGTCCTGCAATTGCTGCTGGAGTTTTTGTATGTCGCTGTGGGAAGTATCTCGGCTGCCGTTGTTCATTAAAAGAGCTTCGCCGACCCCGGTGTTGGACGGTACCGGCTCCTCCTCGGGATCCGCCTTCACATCGGATATCGTTCCTGCGAGAGCATAACGGTTGGTTTAAAAGGAAGCACTCGGCGATTCTCTTTGCTTGCTCGCGATACGGCACGATACGGGATTTCAACTGGTCGCGACACGCGGTAGAAATCAACGGGAAGACCGACGCGTTAATTAATCACGTTACATTTGATTAATCTCCGAAATATAACAGTAGAAGAAAAATGTATCTCTAACAGAAACTGCGCATTGATACCAATGATCATTATTTCGAGCATCTCCTGCAAATGTAAATCTTCTTTAACTTATAAACTTATAACAATACTTGAAATGTATATACATATGCACATATTTAAGTATTGATATTCCTCTTTCCATTATCTATGCATCTCCATTCGATCAACTAATGCATAAAAATAGCGTTAATAAGAAAAATAAAAAAATTATATTTTCGTATTTGTAATATTGTGTATATATAAATATCTACCTCAACTCCGTTTCAAATTAACACTTATTATTTAGTCAGTGAAATAAATGTGAAGGAAATTTTGTTTGTTAAATACTAAATTTATGAGTGGCCCCCTTGATACGTCACTGGAAATGCTACTAATGGACAATGCATCCTTAATTGATTGATTGTGTATTTTAAAATAAATAAATGGTGTGTGTGTATATTTTGATTAAAAAACGGGACGAACTTCTGCATCAACCCATTCATTACTTGTCTCTCACCCTATAAATGTATATAATTAATATATAATTAATTATTATACAATAATAAGGAAATAAGTATCTCGAGCGAGGTATAAAATCCAGCCAGTAATAATAATAGAAATATAGTGCGAACGTCGGAGTAGTTTGCGCTGCGAAGCGATCGATCAAGTAATCGCGACGCAATCATTATCGTACCTGAGGCGTTGCATCCTTTCACGTAAGTAACATCGCCTCCACCGCCGCAGCAGACCGACAGCGGTACCATGTGCTGTATCTGGGCCCGACACTGCACACACTTCTTCATCAGGGTCGCGCAGCTCTCGCAGGCGCACATGTGTCCGCATGGACGGAACAAGACGTCTGCCTTGCGATCCGAACACACCACGCATTCTTCGATCTGAGAACAAACGCTCGTTATTGCGCGCGGACGCGGATAGAATGCGTCTAGAATTACCGGACCTGCTGCGCGTATCATCCTTAGAGAAAGCGTTATGGGACAGAAGAAACTGTCTTCGCGTACGTGGCGGATCGTTCGTCCACGTGGCACGATGGAATGTGGAACATCAGATCATGAGAGAGAGAGAGAGGGATACCTTTGATTTATTTTTTCATCCCGATTAGAATTGAACGTAATCGCCGGAATTATCGCGAATTCGAAATTTGTAAAATTGAAATGAGAAATAACAAAGTTAGAGAATATTTCTCTGACGCGTGAAAATAGAGTTGATTCTCCTCGTGAACGATAACTGTAACGTTACCGTTGAGATTATCGTTAAAAGTATCGTAGAAACTCGGAGATCGGGTGTTGACGCAAAGTAGGCGTTAAATGGCTGCTGAAAGAGTAAGTTTCCAGGGCAACAACGACGTGTTTGCCGGTGTACGGTGACACCAGCGGAAGACAACGGTGTCGGTTTCATACCTTCACACGTAAAAGGACGTTTTCTCGGCAGATGAGACACTTTTTCACTCTTGGCGCACACGCGTTGCAACAGGCCACGTGTCCGCAGGGGCTGAAAAGCATTTCTCGCTTGCTGTCCGAGCACACGAGGCACTCGTCGATCGCCGCTGACGGTGCGGCGGTCTCGATGTCGTGTCTGAAAAAGGATTTTGCATCTTATAGAGAGAAAGACAGAGAAGGAAAACAAGAATAATGTACACTTAAAATATATATTCGAATGATACCAATACTTTTTGCAAACAATAAAGCTCTTGATTTTATGCAAAAAATATTCTATATACACAAACATTGATGTATAAAATGATATGTAATTTTATGAGTGGACCAAAGGACAATCAAATATCCGGGGATATTTGATACTTTTATACAATTAATTTGGTTTATGGAGATTAAAGGATCGAAGGGTCGAAGAGCGCACGCGGCCTTCTCTGTTTTTCTTTTCTATTCTCTCGAATACTAACGACTCCTTGTCCTTATGGCAGGTGGTAAGGGTCTTGCAGAGGTTCGGGTCCGGACAAAGGTCCAAAGGCGTTTGGCCCTTCTTGTTTTTCAGCTCCAGATCGGCTCCGTGGGCAGCTAAGAAACAAGCGATGAAGGAGCTGCTCTTCTTGTCCTGGCCCTGGGTGCCTAAGCCCATCAGCAACCGTCCGACGTCCTGCACATCTTGCAGCTGTCGCAGCTGCGACAACGTATGATGGCGCAATGCCTCGTGTAGAGGTGTGTCCCCATCCTTATCGGCGACGTTCAGATTCGCGCCCTCGCGAACCAACAACTGTCGGCCGAGCGAAATGAATTGTGACTGATAATTACTTATCGCAATCGTCGAGCCGCCGGGATCGGAGAGGGCACTCTTGCACAAATATTTCACCGTTTCCATTCTTTACACGGCCCGTTCTGGCCCGCTTTTAACCCGTTCTACCATTTTTACGCTCGTTTCTTGCACTCTCGGCCACACATCTTAATCTCAAATTAAGCGAAAGAATTCAACGCTCGTTTTCTAGCTGATGAGTGACAACGCGTTAATACGTTCCTTTTTGACTTCGTTTCGTTTCAATGCGGAAAGACGCACGTTAAAAAGTCGTGCATTTATTCGTGCTATTTCAAAATGTATAATACGAATGCCAAACAAATATTTTTGTACTCGTAGCTGAATGTACGTTTACACACCTCAAATTTACATAGCGCTGTACATATTTACTACTCAAAAATACTCCATAGTACGTTAATACCATTCGGAACATACTCGTATGCAATCCGCTATAACCACTCGTTTTATTACGGAAAAGTGTCCTTTTCCAGCCTAAAAACCGGGTCGTATTCACTCAGCTGAATGCACACTTTCACTGTTCAAACTAACAATAATCGCGGGCTGAAAATGGTGAAATATTTCTGCAAGGGTTGCTTTTTTTCGCGAAGATCGACACACACCCGAACGATCTGCGTGTGCTGTCGCTCGACTGCGAGGTGCAGCGCGGTCTGCAGGTTCACATTCTGCAGGTCCAGGTCGGCTTTCCCGGCGCGTGCCAGCTGCTCGGCCACTTCCACGTGGTTGTTCAGGGCTGCCAGATGAAGGGCCGTGTAACCGTCGTCCTTCTTCTCGTCGACGATCCAAGGCCGCGGCAACTTCGACAGCAGCACTCGCATCGCGCTGAAACGTGATCGAAAAGATTGATCACGACTGCGCCTCGTTGCGGGGAACAATTGCGTTTCCGTTCACGCTCGCGAGACTCAATTATCTCGCGACAAACCATTCTAATTAATCTCAGCGTCTTCCTTCGGAAAATTGCACGGTATACGTACGCGAAGCGTTCCGTGTGAAAAAAGGAAAGAAGAGAGAGAGAGAGGGAGAGAGAGAGAGAGAGAGAGAGAAATAAGAGGAAGGGAGAGAAAAAGAAACAGATACGCGTTTTTTATCGCGCGACGTATTTTATCGTATTTTACGTAACTGCTTTATTTTTGCACGGCGCATCCCGTCATTTTCTCCTACTTTTGCGGCGCTACTTGTATTTGTGTCTATTATTTTTAACTAATTATACTTTGACGCAGCGTCTCGCTGTATATTTACGTTTTTTTATTTCTGGAAAGAGGAAGGTGCGATAAAGTCACATTCCCGCCCCGTCCCTCTCTTTCTTTTTTTATCTCTCTCTTTCCCTCTCTCTCTTTCTGTCTCCGTGCTTTTGTTCGGCTTTTATATTACGGAAAGAGACGCGATCTCGCTGCATTTCCCCTTCGGGCGATCCGCTTCCGTGTATCACCAGCGTATTTCTGACTGTATCTCCGCGGCAAGGATCCCATGGTGAGGCGGCGAGAGACGGGGACAGCTGTTCTCGTAGACGGGGCCTCCTCCGAAGGGGGCCTCTTCGAGGCGGTAGCCCGCTGCTGGGGCACGCCGAACACGCATGTGTTTCGTCACACATGCGCCTGCATGTGTCTCGAAATGTCTCGCGCACGGCATCAGAGGAGGCCTTCTCTCGTCTTCCCGACCCCCGTCTTCCTTCGGGAGATGCGCCTCGCCAATTACGCCGCGAGATCTTCGCGGAATTCGAATTATTACGAAACAGACTCTCGGACTTCGCCAAGATTTCACACGGAGGGACAAGCACTCTTTCTTTCCCTCTTCGTATTGCGAGACGTGCAAAGTGTCTCTTGGAGAATTTCGATAAGAGGCAGCGATATGCTTTTTGAATCGCGCAGAAATATCTCGTCGAAATATAAATGCAAGAATAACAAGGACTCTACGTACTTTCTAAAATTCAATGAGTGTATTATCACTGAGAAGCAGTCAACAGCCACTAGTGATCAAAGTTATAAGTATAGCATTGCAAATCGATAAAATTTCGCTGTAAAAGTCTGTTAATAGCAACAACTGTTTCCATCGGAGAAATTTAACTGCAGAAACAGCGAAAAAGATATTATTTTATTATTTCTCTCTCATTATCACACTCTTAAAGTATCGTCAATGGTTTTGCTTGAAATATTTTCGCAATCATGTTTAATTGATTTAACTTATATCGTATTTGAAAAATACATTTATCCCGATGAAACTCGAACTCGAAACTTCTGGCTCTTGAATCCGCTACCGTAAGAATTATATCAAATACGATAGAGAGAGAGAGAGAGAGAGAGAGAGAGAGAGAGAGAGATTTTTTCTTCTATTGCGTAACACGTAACAACGATCTGTAGTGAATCTTTCATTGGCTAAAATCAGTGAAGTATTAGCTAAAAGAACTAAGTGGAAGTGTCTTCACTAAAAATTATATTCGCTGATTATCGGTAGAATATTATTTCACTGATTCGATTAATAACATTTCCACTGACTCGACTTAAGAGAGAATAGACATAGAGTCCCATTCAACTTGGGACCTGCCAGAACGGTAATCTCGACAAATAATCTCCTTATCTCGGAGGCGACTAATAATAATCCACAAAAAATTACCGTTTGCGCAGTAAGTGCAATGACGTATATGTGCGCAATGTTGTAAGGGAGTAACGATGTTTGCGTTAAACTCGCGACCCTGTTAGACATCGTGAGCCTCGTTTCCGCGACAGTTGCGGGAGGCGAGGGGAGGCCATCAAATTTTTACGACGCGTAAGCGGCGTCGTTTTTCATTAACGCGGTCCAAGGGACACGCGTTTTGCATCCAAGTGTGCGGAGAGCCGCAGCGGCAAGGGCAGCAGCAGCAGCAGCAGTGAATCGCCCAGGGCCGACTCTACCCCTCCTCCTCGTCATGAATATGCAAATGGCCGCGAATGTTACCGTTACCGCGTTAATAACTATAAATCGATTACTTCGCCAATTATGTCGGGGACTCGCGCCCGGCATCGGCGCTGTGCGATTTTATTGCGTCATTAACCGGTCCCGCGGTTCTGCTCTCATCCCACCGTTGTTCTCATTTTTTTTCTCGCCCCTCTGACCCTCTTGCCTTTCCTATCGTCGGCCTTATTTCCTGCGGCTTGCCAAAATAATTACCATCAAAACGATCGGAATAATGTAATGATTAAACCCGCTCTCTTGCTCGTCCTCGTCCCCCCTTCCCCCCTCCTCTTTCCCTGGCACATTGTCGAAAGTAATTAAAAAACGGATAAATATTCTATTTCGAGTAATATAGATATAGCGTGAGGATTAATTGAACCTGCAATTATGCATTTCTAGTGAACTCGGCCTGAGTCCAATTAATACGAGAGAGAGAGAGAGAGAGAAAGAGAGAGAGATGTATATTGCAAAAACGGGTGATTAAAAGCGGTCTATCCTAAAAACTCCAGCAAATTATGTTTTAAGTGTAAAATATCGGCCGGAAGTGTCTTCTTGAGCAAAGACCTCCCCGAAAGAATATTTTAGGGCCGGGGGGAGAGGGGGGGGGGGAGGTCGCAAATGTGAACTTCCGTTCTACCCGTCTGCCGAATACAAATGGGACGTACCCGAAGCGATATCTTTTAACGGCCAAAATCTTTCAACGACAATATCGTGGTCATCAAAAGTCACAGCATGTTATCATTGCGCGGCTATTATGTCATGCTGTTATATCTGCGCGACGATGTGTAACGTATACAGTTACAGTTGCAAAGCGTGCGTTAAAGAATTACAGAATAGATCTGCCGCGAACCGTCGAGCTCGCCGAGCTCGCGAAGCCCTCGCGTGGGATTTCGCGCGAGCGAATCCGCGTGGGAGCGAAGACGTGCGCGCGCGACGTTGATTTAACGTCGCCGATAATTATCGCAATTACAACGGCAGTCGCACGGCGGTGTAACAAATAGAAATAAGCGCGAGCGGGCGAGACGGGCGAACGGGACGACGCCGGTTATTACGGCCTGTCAGTCTCCGATTTAATTTCATTTCGGCGTCGCGCACTCAAAGTCAGAATTCGTCATAATCACGACCTGCATAAATACCCGGACCGCGCTAGGGAGGCGTATCGCGCGACGCGTGTTATTACTCCGATTAATTTCCCGCTCGTCGACAAGGACTTTTGCCCGTCGCCGACGTCTCTGTTCGTTTATTGGCATCAATGAACCGTCGTTAGGCACTCACGACGTGCTACTCGATATCGTTACGTCGACCGTCGCGTTATTATTATTATTGTTATTATTATTATTATGTAGCAGCTCACTGATCATTACGATCTCGAATCGTCATTTATTATCGGTATTTCATTCTCCGCGACAAATCGCGTCGCTCGGCGGATCGCAGAACGTGCGTTCGAATGAAGGATGTCGATTCGCGATTTCAGAACGAGACGAATGTGCGAACGCCCGAATCGAGATTTTAAATTATACTTTAAGTCTTCAAGGGGGAGAAAACAGAAATAAGTTCACAATAAATGCTCCTTTAATGCTACAAATGAGAATTGAAGCTTCCAAAGTCTAAGAGCGGTATTCATAGTCGGGTCTTATATTTAAGACCATCTTAAGTTCATCTTCAGATATTTTGCAACCAATGAAATGAGTCGTGCAACATTTGAGGATACATTTAAGACGGTCTTAAATATAAGATCTGACTATGAATACCGGTCTAAACCTTAATTCTACATTAAGTCTTCAAGAGCAGAAAACGATCATAACTTCCCCATACGCAGCATCAAAGAAGTACAATAGATGATTTTTGAAGGCTTAATGTAGAACTAAATCAGACTTAAAATAAGACTAAAATGTCGACTCAGGATCTCTTCGAGTCTTCTTCCATAATTTGATTTTCTCTCAGGAGGCGGAGGTTCGGTTCATCTTCGGAAATTTTCGGCTCGGTTCGTCTCTCGGAATTTTTTTTCCGAAAATTTTACAAAATCCTTAACGATTTAACAGACTGGTTCCATGGAATGAATCGAGAACACGATCTGCAGTTATCCTCGCTCGTTGTGACTCCGAGCAAACTCTCCGCCGAGCGACCGCTCGTTGACGCGAACGAGCGGCCGCGAATCGAGCTCGCTCTCCGCATCGCACGCGCGAATCGCGCACGCATATATCGAGCATTTAGTGAGTCAGCGACGGCCGTGGCATCATCGCGGAGAGTCTAACCGAGAAGCCGATGCAACCGCACGGTCCAACACGCGTGCTTCTGTTTCCGACGCGTAGCGCGAGCGTTCGTCGCCTCCTGCAGTTCGCGGCAGTGTGAGTCAGTGAGATCACGCGGCGACATGCTAAATATAATTGACACGAGCGTGTGCAACGATGTCGACGATGTCGACGACGATGTCGACGACGACGACGACAACACGCGTCCGACAACGGGAACACCGAGCCCGAGTGGAGGAAGAGGCTGCTGCTTCTTCTTTTTCTCGTCCTCACGATCGAACCGTCAGTGATCGATATTCGTCATATCGAGAGCGACCGAAGATCGGACGCTTCGTCGCGGGAGCGCTCGCGCGGAATCGCGTTCCGACCCGCTAAATATAGCGAGCGCGGACTCGCGATTATTTCGGTATTCGCAGCGGCGCGCAGCTGCGATTCGTCGCGAGTGTGATATCGAGAGGATTTCGAGGCCGAACAGAGAAAAAGAGAGAGAAAGAGAGAGAGAGAGAGAGAGAGAGAGAGGATGATCTCGAGCGAGCCGGCGACGGAGGTGGCGGCGACTACGGTGAGTCGAGCCGCGGCGGAAATAATTCCGCCCAGTCTGTCATTGTCGAAACGGGAGATTGTTCGCGAGCGGTTTCGGAGAGGAAAGGGAGGTAGGCGGAATTATCGACGAATTAATCGCCCACGAGAATGCGTATCATTGATCAAGTGGGCTTCGCCGATGCTTATCGACAATCGATGGGAAAATCGAGTCGGAACCGGAGAGGGACGTGGTGTGTGTGCATTTGTGTGGATGAGAGAGAGAGAGAGAGTGAGAGAAGGGGGAGGGGAGAGAAAAAATATGAAAAAGAAAAATCGAAATCGCGACGCAAAATGAACGAATGTGTCCATACATAATATAGTTGTTAGGCTCATGCATGTATAATTGTATATTCTAACTTATTTATATCTTATTTGTAATCTCTAATTTGTATCTCTAATCGTGCAGAGTTACAAAATGTAGATAGATTTATTAGATGTGTTACCCACAAGTTAGAATAATGAAAAAATTACAAATTGATCTATATTACACTTAAAAATGACACCAAAATTTTGACGGAATTCAGAGGGGAAAAAAGTTATTTCTGGATAAAAGTTATTATACTTTAAATACATACTCAATCTGTATGAAAAATAGCTAAACGGCTATTACGCTGTGTATACTTCGAGACATTACATACGCGGCACACCTCTCTTCGCTAATTGCGCCTCCCGACCTCGCGACGAGATTAACGAGTCCGCTGCGAAAACGCGTTCATTCGGAGCCGGAGAAAAATCGGAAGCTGCGATCTTTCTCTCCGTAGGCGGCTCCGAGTCTTCTCAAGGCATTCACTGATGGATTACTGAGAAACCACGAAGGCCACCGCAGTCCCTAAAACATTTATCCGCCGCAACCTCGCGAAATTCCGGCGGAATTCCATTTGTCTTCCCTTTCGTTTGCCCGCCGGCGCTCTTCACCAGGCAGCGGTTCCCGAAGTATTCGGATTTCCTATCAGTCATTCGCGCCATCCGATTCGATCAAACTCCGCGCAATAAATAAAGCTTCAATTTTCGCGTCGCGCCTTCCCTCCCATCGGTTGTCGTGCGCGAGATAAATTAGCTTCTAATATTCGGTGACAGAAAATCCTTTCCTCTTTCTTTCGAAAAACTAAACAAATAAATAAATAAAAATTCTCACTTTATAGTCCTCTTTTTTCTAATTTTCTTCTCAAATTGCAGTCGATACTTTTGCGACGCGGGCCTGTTCTCGCGTTCGCGTTTGACGCGTTAAATGTGTTAAGCGTGTACACGTCATCTGATGAAATTTCAGTCTTCATTGGATTTCTCACCGATTCCTCGGGTTAGCTCCGAATTTTAATTACGTAATTTCACGAAAATTTCATGTAAATGACATTTTAATTCGAGATAATCGCCAAGGTATGTGTTAATGAGATACTGAGGAAGAGAGCGAATTGTCACCGGGAGAAATTGTCTTTTCAAATTCGACAGGGATCTCGTTACATTATCATTATACAAGTTTTCAGGAACAGCGTGTATTGGTTCTTTCTCTATCTCGTTCTCTCCCTTTCTCTCTCTCGTCCTCCCCCTCCCTCACCCCTCTCTCTCACTCTCTCTTTCTCTCTCCGTATTTAAATTCAGCGTATTTAAATTCGATCGATTCGGCGAACCAGGAAGGAATACGCACGGCCGGTCCGAATCGACGATGTCCGCTCGTGGGTGACGGGCGGGCGCCGAAGGGAGGAAGAGGAGGATGGATGCGCTCTAATATGCAGAAACCATGAAGAACGTCGGCCACTACCATGACGCAATTTCCGGGTGTCTCTATCGGAGTTGGCGCACCCAGGAAAACGGCCGATGCCCGCCTGGTACCCGTCACCCGCTCTCTTTCGAGCCGTTTTGTTTTCCTTCTTCTCGTCACCCTTTCTATTTTGCTTCTTTCTTTCTTTCTCCTTTTTTCTTTTTTTTTCTTTTTTTAACACAGCGAGATTAGACCCGCAGGAAAGTTTCGGGAGAAAAATCGAAATCCCGCGCGCGAGAAGACGCGAGATGCTTTCCCTTCCTCATCGCCGTCGTCGTACTGCGGAACTTCATCGGCGAAGTGTCCGACGAAAATTGGAATTTGCCGTGAGTCCCGAATACCGGAAGTTAGATCCGGATTAAGCGAGGAACTTCTCAAAGTGTCCTTCTAATTTCGTTTCTTCTTTCCGAAGGGTTTCGCCCGACCTCGTGTCGCCGAGGACGCTGCAACACGGTGACGTTATTTTTCCGCCGAGAGAGTCTAGGATTTTTTGAACGGAATATTTCGAGATACATGTTCTCGTAAATACCGGAGAAACGAGCAACGAGAGAAAATGTCTAGCAGAGAAAGAGAAAGAGAGAGAGAGAGAGAGAGAGAGAGAGAGAGCGAGAGAGAGAAAAGGAAAACCGGCAGCCAGAGCCAGGAATTTACGCGTCCTATTTGCGTGTTTACCTGCGCGACTTATCCCTTAAATGCGTCGCGTCGCAGATCTGCAACAGTTCATAATTTCGCTTGCATCTCCTTGCGACACCGGCGTCGCTACGTTTACCAGAAAAAAATGTATAATGTACAATTTCGCGCATTTGCGATAAACGAATTTTCGTGTGAACGGCGGCGCATCAGAAATTACTCGCGACATTTCTCCTCGTTTATCGCGTCGGGTGGAAAATTAATCTCTATTAAAAAATATTATTTGTGCGTATATCTTGAATCGAAGCGCGCGCGGACTATGCCCGGCGGCTCCAAGATCGAATACTGCGCCGGACTCAACGCTAGACGAGAGAATACGTTAAAATATCAATCATACAAATATTATTCTTCAATTTTGAATTCAATAAAACTCGCGAGACTTTTTTCTCCTTACATATTTGTGTATCCGAAAAAGCTTATCCTGAAAGGGTTAAGGGTCAACGGGAAATCTCGTAGCTGGCGCCGTGACGAAAATTGAAATTCCCGGAGGGTAGTATCTCCGAAAGGATTAGTCGGCACCGGAACCGGGGGGATTGAGGCAAGCGGGGAGGATAGAAGGGGTTCGGAGCGCCGGAGAAGCAGGTAGGTAATCGAACCAAAACTAAATCACAACTACCAACTAATTCTATCCGCGGAGTTTGGACGTCGCGGAGGTAGAACGTCCCGGTTCGGTGGCAGGGTCGACGACGTCACGAAAATATCAGACGAAATTGGAGAAACGAGAAAAAAGACGTCGCGAGATAAAGAAGATCGTAGGCAAACATAATAAGAACAGTGTTACGGTAACAATGAAAATTGTACGTCTCTTGCTCTCGCGTTGATGTAAAACGCAAAGTAACGACCGCGCGTACAAAGCTCGCGAGGTAAAATAACGAAAAGAAATTACGGGGCGGGAGAAAAGTGGCACCGGTGGAGAAGTAAAGGGAGCGGGGAGGGAGAAGAAAGAAATAAGGAAAGAAAGGGAGAAAGGAGGAAAATTCTTCGATCGCTCGACGAAGTCGCGTAATTTATGCGTTCAATACCCAACTGAGAAAGAGAGAGGCGAAAAGAGACAGTTAGAGAAAGAGAGAGAGAGAGAGAGAGAGAGAGAGAGAGAGAGAGAGAGAGAGAGAGAGAGAGAGAGAGAGAGATGGAAAAGTAGGAGCGAAGCTGCGGCTGTGAAAACGCCAACGGTCTTCCAGAAAAAAATATATTAATTCTGAGCTCCTTTAAAAGTTATTGCAAAAGGCGCAGGAAGGGAGGAGAACGACGACGAGGTTCGGTCGGTGGCAGGCGGAACTTTTCCGCGGCAATGGAAATGACTTCGGCATAAAATATGACGCGATGGCACAGCCAGACGAGTCGCAGGTGCACCGCCACGGCGGGGTAGGTCACCCGTGATCGCTGCACTCGTCGGCTATTTTAATTCGGGCAAAGGGAAGAAAGGGCGGCGTAGCGCCGTTCCGCGCTCACGGCGCAGGGTCGGATCTGGGGAACGTTCTCGGGGAATAGCTGTCAAAATAACGGAGATTAAATTTACTACAAGATAAATTTTACGCCGTGAAACGTCAAGATTTTACGAGAGAATATGAGGACTCGTTCTCGCTCATCCGTCCGCCCGTCATCGCGAGCAATTAAAGGGTTTAGCCGCGCAGAAGTCTCGCGCAGAAGTTTCTTCAATAATTAATAACTCGAAAATGTGTGTGTTGTTTGCAAAATGATACAGGACTTTTTTGTTCATCTCAGTCTGTTCCATATCCTCGTGAAGTTTATGCCTTGGTCTGGGACACTCTATATATCGAAATCTGCAATCAAGTGTGATCGAAACACAAACGCACTAAATATTTAATATAAATACTTGAGATTGAAATCTCTCGAAATATTTTATAATAATAATTCTTGAATGTGTTAATTTAACTCTCTTGTCGAGACAATTTGATGATTATTCGTATTTTTGAAACGCTCGCAACGGCCTTCTCTCTAAATTCGTCTGCACCTCTATCGTAATTACATCGTACACGATACGTTATATCGATTATGGCAACTATTACGGTTACCACCAGCATCACCAGCACCATCACCCCATCTATCCTTCCGTCCAGTATTTCGTATATTGTGGTTATTAACGAGAATGTTGTTTACCCTACCGCGAATATTATTAGTATTATCGTTATTACGTCGGTCGTTACGTAGCGCAAATTAATACGTTACCGCTATTATCTTTATTTGTTTCATAATCACGATCGAAATTAATCTTTACCCAAGCCTCGTATCTCACGTCAAAAACATATGCAATTAAACTCTTTGATTGCGCAAAGTAAACGACGGCTTATCTCTCTCTCTCTCTCTCTCTCTCTCTCTGCTCTCATAAAATTGTAATTTTTTTCCGCGGTCGCAAAGAGAGTGCTTCAACAAACGGCGAAAAAGCTAGACACTTCCATTAGCTGTAGCCACATTTAAATGGTGTTTCTGGTCGAATAAACGTGAACACGAATTGGCAACGGATAAATCTCTTTAACCGCAATTCCACAATATCCAGCTGTAAAAGCGCTCATAAGAGAGATAGCCGAATTCCGTCGAAATTGTCAAAACGATTTCATCTCTAATTCGAGATGAGCGATCTCGATAGTCGATAGCTGTGCGGCGGCAATGTTTTTACCCTGCGGGAAAATATGTACGCTCAAAATGAGGGTGAAAAGTTTTCGATCGAAAGTGAGAAAAAGAGAGTAGGGGTAGAGATAGAGGGTTCGAGAAAGCAAGAGAAAAAAAGGAAGGGGATGAAAATGATTCCATCGCGGAGCACGACGGACGGTGACGTCGACGGCGACGCCGAGTTTTTCCTGAATGAGTTTCGTCTCGTTTATTTTGCTTATTCGATTCCTCCGACGAAAACACGTCTATCCGTCTTTAGCCGGCCGGCTGTAGGTGCGGAGAAAGAGATATTTTGGCTTTGAAGCATACCCCGTCTGCTGGAGACTGTTTACGTTTCTCTCTCTCTCTTTCTCTCTCCCTTGCTTTCGCATCTCTGTCCTCTCGCAAGTTCGCGAAGATCTATTCGAAGATACGTCGAACTCAATCACGCGATCACAGACGAGCCTGTCATCGTCTCGAACGTGACAGTTTCGCCGGTTTGTTTTCCACCGGAAAGGCGAAGAGATGTTTACGTTGTCGCGTTTACAACGCGAAACAATGAGCTGCCCGGTACGATCAGCGTGAATAAATTCGCTCGGTCGTCGTTTCCGAGATGATTCGACGATCGAAATGATTTCGTGAGCGCGCGTCTCTCATGAGCGGAGAGGAATTTTCCGAAGGATCTCAACGCCACCGGAGACTTACGTCACCATGCAGTTATACGACCTGGGAGAGCATCCAAGTCTTGGTCCTGTCCCCTATCGTTTCGCAATAATTCTCTCTCGCGGCATGCGATGTGGCAAAATCGCGACCCGCATTCCTCCGGCAAATTTATAACCTGCTCTTCCCTCCGCGCGACTATGAATCTCGTCCGATCTCGTCGCTCATGCAAGAAAGGTTATTTCGACGACGCCAATGTTGCCACCGGGCTTTCATCTGGACAGTTTGATTTTGCCGAAATTAAAAAAAAAATTAGAAATTAAATTTTCCCGTATGACAAACGTATAGAACGAAATTTACTTTCTTGGTGACGCTAAAGGGATGGCTTCGTCTTGTAGAGAAAGCAACTCAGTAAACGATTGTTGCCTGCGATTGGAATATTCTTTAGATTCTTAAGATCCAAGAGAATGTACCAATCAAGAGCGATAATAATGAAAGGTTCAGTATGTGCCGATGTTCATTGCTGGTACTACAAATAGTATATTGCGATCTAAACTGTAGGTCTGTAATACTAGCAGCGAATATCGGAAATATATTCATTTTGTTTATTATCATATGTTTTATATGTATTATTTAAATGTATTGCTATATTATGTGGTTATTATTACAACGTATAAAATAATAAACAGGATACAGTCATGAGATCTTTCTTTAGTCTAGTGTTCGAGGGGTTGTCATTAGAAAAAAATGGCAATACTGGACGAAGTGGTCCGCGCTATGAAATCAACTCATTATACAGTTCCGTTCAGTCGGACGTGATTCATAAGTAATTTTTCTCATTTCGCGGCCGTACCTTCGGCAGCGAAGTATTAAAACTAGTGTCTCGCCCCGGGAGCGAGGATCGGAGAAATGCGCACGAGATTGCGAATAGGCACGGCGAAGTTCCCGGGCGATATCGGGATTAACGTGCCCTTAATTAATACGCCCATTAACGCCCGCGTCGTCGCCTTAAATTCGTAGTTCGCGGAAGTTTTACTGCATCGTTAAATCGCCGCCTCGGATGCTCGTGCCGAGTTTCAAAGCGGCGTTCCCCGTCCCTCGACGACCGAGAGGGCAACGGAGGGAGGCTACCGATCGAGCTCTTAATGGCCGTAATAATCCGGTATTTTGAATCGGCCTTGTCATTAGTTCGGGCGACTCTTCCGGTTTCTCGCGCTTTGGCGAGGCTCCAGAGCCCGAGTGGAAAAAAGAGAAAGAGAGAAAGAAGGGGAGCCGAAGGGCCTCGCCGAGAATTTTATCGCGGGTGTCGAAGAATTTTGGCGCATTTTGGTCGCAGTCACTTAGCAAATTATTCATCGGGCGCGAGCGTTTCGTTAGCCTTTGACAAACTGCACAACGTCGCGCTCGATTTTATCACAATATCTCATTACGGTAATTTCATCACGATGCTTAATCTCGCTTCAGCCGGTAATTGAAGTCAGATGCCGATTTGTCTCCGGCAAACATTCTTGAATCCGTGCGCGCGCGCGCGCGCGATGCTATACACCAGGCAGAAACGCGCGCCCTCCTCCAGAAAGGGCGAATGTGAGCGAGAGCGTCGCGCAAAAGCGTTTATTTTTATCTGACGATATCGAATTCCGCGGCGCGATGCACACTCGAGAGTTTATCCGCGCGAATGCGCGTTTTTTGCTCGTGCACCTGTAACTCCGCTCGGGCCGCGCGTCGCCGGTGCGAATGCGTTATTTTGCCGCGTCGATCAATCCATTTCCCATGAACCCTTTCGTCCTCGGCACGGAAGTCATGTCGCTCTCGTGAATTAAAAATCACACTTGAGAGATTACTCCGCGCGGCAAAACCTTTTATCGCGTTGTGTTAAATTTAACACATTTCACATGTCCCGAGCGATCCGCTCAAATTTTCGTGTTAATTTAACATGAGTATTGTGATATATGAATATAAGATGAGATTGAAAGGTAACGGAAGTATTATGTCAAAGATTAATACAAAATTAATATGTCAATCGACACTGAAGTATAAAATAAGTTATTTTGACGTTTACGCATGTTGAATATCGACTCAAATATAATAGAAAAAAAATATAAAATGTATATATTGAAATAACG